AATGCATATCTGTCTTCCTATATCACAGGGAAGTGTCTGTTCATGTCTGGTCTAAGTAATGAGCAGCTGAACCACATGGATGACCATACCTTGCCACATAAATATGGGATTGGATTTACAAACATGGTTGAAAGGACAACACCTGGAAGCAAAGACCTCTCCAGGTAAGACAATAAAAGGAAATATCAGGCTTGTTAATGAATTAATAGTTGTGATTATAATTTTGAGTATTTTGTCTTTTAGCAAAGAGTTTCGGGAAGGAGGGCGAATTCTGATGCAGAAGCTACAGAAGTATAAACCTCGTATAGCAGCTTTTAATGGAAAATGTGAGAACTTTTACTTTTAAATGACTTTTTTCTGCGAGTAGCTTCTTTTTTTTTCCACTTACCCTATATTTTCATTTTAGGTATTTATGAAATTTTTAGTAAAGAAGTTTTTGGAATTAAAGTTAAGAACTTGGAATTTGGGCTGCAGCCACACAAAGTGCCAGATACAGAAACTGTAAGTATTGAGACTGAGAAACAAAACTGAGGCACTTCATTTTGGTTATATAAAAACGAATTAAATCTCAGGCTTTGCACCCACTTAGGATAACACCAGTTTGACCTGAGTGCAAGAGGTGTGAAAGATTTTTACTTAGGTAGAGAAAGGGGAGTAGTGCAGTTTTTGGACACATCTTTAATGCAGCTTCTTCAGACTTGCAGACTTCTTTTGAGAAATGGTATGTTATGGTTAGTAGGTTGGTGCATTCTCTGAGGACTGCATAAAATACAAGTAACACGTGCTTGCTTTTATGATAATTTTCATCTGATCCCCTGTGTCCATTTCCCTGGGTATTTGCATTACTGGATTTTGATATTGAGCATGACCATGCAGTGCCACAGTGGGGGAGAAAGAACAGCAAGTCCATCCTTGTGTTACTGCATGCAACCCTTCAGCATTGCTAGATCTGGGCATGCCCAAGTGCTTCCATCAGACTGGATCTTCTTAAGCTGATCTGCAGTTTGAAGTTAAATTGGATGCTTAAGATAAAACAAGCAATTTGATGAAGAGTGCATTAGTCATAGAACTTCAGTGCTGGAAAATATCTCAAGAGACCAGCTATGTATCATTAATAATTGGATTGTTTAATGTGTTCTTATAAACAAGCTAAAGCAAAGGCAATTACACTGCTTGCCAAGGTAGCTTATTCTAAAGCTTCATTATCTTGTCAGTTCAAAAGTTTGGATTGTTTTTTCTTCTTATTTCTATCCTCAATTACTAGTGCTGCAAGTTTCAGCTGCCTCTCTAAAGGTGGAAGTGCTGCCATTAGAGCCTGAAGAATCATTGGATAAAGTATTTGCTCCTTAGGTAGCTCTTAAGGACTTCTGCAGTAGATGTATTTGTAAGAAAAGTAATCCCCTTTACTGGTACTTGTTCATAAAGACTGCATGGTAATAGAAGTATTGAATACAATTTGTTTTTCTTGTACTAACTTGATGTCTTTAGTTAGGGCTGTTGGCAGAGATAGAAAGAAACACTGAAGCTGGCTCCAACAACACTAAAAATTTCACAGCCTGTCATACATCATGCAGATGCACTTGGCCAATAAGCCAGGCTAGTTAAGCTGTGCTGCCTCCCTCACTGGTTTGGGACCTTTGCATGCTATCCCATACACCTCTATGGCTCAGAGCTCTGCTTGTTCAGGGAGTTCTGGAGTGTGCTCTGTTCTCTTGTAACACACATGGGTACTGCTTCTCCTGCAGCACATAAATAACTCGTGAAAATTGTGCTCGCTTAGCAGCTGGTAATCAGCCCTGTCTTCAGGGCAAGGCAGATGGCTGACCAAGAAAAGTGGAAACTCATTTTAGCCCCTTCCATAACCACCTCTAGCATTAGTTGAAGTTTGTACAAATAGTTTAAAAATTTAAGTTGTTCTGAATGCACTAAGTATTAACTCATAGCTTGGGGATCAGTAATGCTGTTTTTCTTGCTCTTTGTCTCAAGCTCTGCTATGTTATGCCATCATCCAGTGCAAGATGTGCTCAGTTTCCTCGGGCACAAGATAAAGTTCATTATTACATTAAGCTGAAAGACTTAAGGGATCAACTGAAAGGCATTGCACCCAACACGGAGGTCCAGGAGGTGCAGTACACATTTGACTTGCAGCTTGCACAAGGTATTGTTGTTATTTTGTTCACACTTCATTAAAATGTAATGTAGTTTACAATACTAGCAGTTTCCCAAGCAGAAAGAAAGAATTTTTTAATGGGGAGATGTGATTCGCTAAAGTGTGTGGTATAGAATTACAGATTCCATTCTCTTTAGTACAGGCTACATTTTTTAAGGGGAGCAGGTAGAATCTTGTGGAATTTGTGGCAGTTTTTCAAATGTTTTCTGATAGAAGTGCTCTTTGATAATTTTTATTCTAAATATTAATGCTTGAGCTGTTCTGTTTGTGCAGAGGATGCTAAAAAGATGGCTGTCAAAGAAGAAAAGTATGACCCAGGCTACGAAGCAGCGTATGGAGGAGCTTACTGTGACCGTGCACCGTATGGCACGGACCAGTGCAGCTTGTCTTCAAATGGAACTGGTAAGTGCTTGGGGCATTCAGTCTGCAGCCATTGCTGGGGAACAAAGAGCCCCTGGTGTCAACTGCCTTTAAAAATTGTGTGATTTTTGTTTGTTCAGCAGAAAGCAATCCACAGTACTGCGAAGGGTCGTCCTTCAGCGAGGTTCCTAATGGACAGTGGATGACACAGTCCTTTGCAGACCAGATTCCAGAGTTCAATGCTGGCATGACACGGGAAGAGGAGGGAAGCAGCATGTAGGAGCTGTTCCTTCTCAGCTATGCACACATGCTGCAGTTTTAATGCAGTGATCAAGATTGGTACCTCAGTTCTCCAACTGAAGCATCTGAATAGTATTTTATCTCCCCTAGTTATTTTATTATAGTCCAAAGTTAGTGTGTGGTAGGCTGAAATCAATGAACTAGAAAATTTTAAGGAACTGTCCAAACTTTTTAAAAAAAAAGTTAGCCCTTTTTTGTATATGGGTTTTATATTTAATGTATACCACGTCTTGCAGTTTTAACAAATTGCTTTCTCATTTGTGAAGATTTCTTTGGGATGTTAATTTTATTCCATAAATGGTAACATGGTAGGAACAGCAGCAGTATACTTTTTACTGATCCCTCAATATATGGATATCTCTTAATACTTTTATATCCAGGGAGGGAAATGGAAAATGTACCCTTACCTTATGTGAAGCGGTGTTTTTAATTATGCACAGTTAAGGAAATGGTGCTTTTTAATCCTGCCTTTTACCATCTTAAAAAGTGTAGAAAGTTGTGTTCTGCAGCTATGGGTGCTATCTTCTGGGTGGGACAAGACAGCTCTGTCTCTTCAGTGAGTGTACCATAATTGAGGATGAAGGGAGTGAAGACATCATCTCAAGTCACAACACTGGGGAGGAAAACTTGTGTCACACAGGACAGGGCCTAAATATCCTACCTGAGCTCTCTTAGGATAAGGTTTCTCTACCACTCCATCTCTTTCCCCCTTAAATTACAATGTAAGGAACTGGAATTGCTTTTAAAAAAAGGCAAAAACAAAGAGCAGTGGTAGTTCTTGAATTTTGTGGTATTTAAACTCCATCATTTCCATGAAGTTAGTCCCTTCACCTGACCTTTGGCAGGAGATAACACCTTTGAATAAGACAGAGAATTGAAAGACTGCATTCTCTTAAAAGTCATATACAGCTATGTTATTCATCATGTACAATTAGCACAGGATGAAATAGATTTGCAGTTTAGCAGTTTTTAACATTAAGCTCTTTTCAATCTGTAGTACCTTAGTGGTTGTTCCCTTTATTCCACTTAAAAGTTAAAGTTGAGTTTAATACAGGGAACAGCTGTTCCATGAATAAGAAGTTGTCTATAGAAACTATAACTGTCTTCTGAGGAACTTGCCTAAATGATACACATTTTTGTCCGATATTAGTGACTGAGAAAAAAAATTCATCCTGGTGCCTAATTCTCATCTTCTTTCCCTCTTTTATCATGTAAGGAAAAGATGAAGTAAAAGCAATAAGCTGATCAAAACACTAAAGTTTTGATGATCTTACAACATTTGGTGCTTCACAAACTTGAAAACAGACACAAACAGTATCTCCACACTCCATGCTGGTCATCTTCCTGTACCAGTGTGATTTATCCTCTCCTCACAGCTAGTGACAGTTGTCAGTTGTGTGTAACTGGTTAGTTCTAATCCTGCTGTAACACCTCTTACAGAGATCACACACTGTCAACATGTTGTGAGGCAGGCATGATGTTTACAGTTTCTTCCCAAATTATGTGGCTTAATTCTGAGAATCTTCGATTGAGTGAGTGTGCATTATAATTCTGACTGTGTTTATTAGCTGCAGCATAAAGCTGTTCCACATATTGTCAGAAAGGTATAGGACTTGTCTTGTCTGTTATTTAAAGTGTACTGTATCATGTATTGCTGTTTACATGGATGTTTTCCTGCAGGTGCTCAAAGTATCTTGCATCAGGGATTTGTTACAATTTAGTTTTATTTTCAACAAAATTAGAAGCATGAAATTAGCACTGCTGAGTGTGTAGCACTAGCACAGTAGGATGTAACTCCTGAAAGGCTATCCTGTTTGATTGGAAGGGAAAGGTCTCTTCCTTAATGGAATCGCCCGCTTGGTTATCTGGGTATAAAATACAGTTGAGTGTGCAATGACCATTCCACTAAGTACTGCAATTCTGTGTCCTCCCTCAAAACTGGTGCTCTTTTTGTTACAGTGATACAGAAGTTCTTAATCTGTCTTAAATCTATGAATGTTTCACAATAAAATCAGGAATAGTACTGCAGCGTATTGGAATGTATTTTGCATCTTGCTAAGTACACTACAGGATGGTTTACAGTCAGAGATGCCACAAAATAGTCACCACACAACAGAACACAGTAATATGTGCCCTGGTTTTCAATTCAGGCTGTTCATGTGAGCTAGATAACTAAACACTTCTTGTACATAACACTGCAGCTATCTCCTGTGTAGATTTTTTCCTACCAGAAGACATTGGAATCTTCCTTAGAAAGACCTTAAATTAAAGCACTCTGTCTGACACTGAAGTTCACCTCTGTAAGTGTTTAGTGAAAGTCAAGATAATCTGAACTATGTATTGGTCACTCCGGCCTCCCTCACCTGCCATAAGCACACAAAACTGATGGTCAGTTATTCATATTTCTAACAAATATTTCGTTTTCTAGAATCAATCACTCATACAACATGTTGCATCTCAAACTATTAAATGCATCCCATACACTACGTTATGCAGTATATCAGTATCAGCTATCAGGACGAGTTAATTTGAACTTCCCTGAGGGGTCAGGAATAAACCAGTTTTCCCAGAGATCAGTGTGGACACTGGGGTAGTCCCAAGGTTTGTATCTCCCATTCCAGTGAAGTAATTTAGCTTCTTGAAGAAATTGCTCTGAGTAACGGGCATCAGGACTCCAACCTGCATGAGAAGATTAAAAAAAAAATGCAGTTTTTGATAATGTAAGACTGTAGAGTGACTTAAATAATGTAAGACTGTAGAGTGACTTAAATTCAGGTGACTTTTTTCAGAAATCTGATTAGTATGCTTGCATGTTAATTTACAACTAGTTGTATGATACAGCAGCTTTTTTTCAGCTTGATGCCTCTTATGCTGCATCAGCAAAAAATCTCAACAAGTTTCCTCTCTCAACACTTTCAACATCTTGGCATAGCTGGGATTAAAACCGAAGTAAAATCTATTCATTTTACCATACCAGCTAAGCCATTATGTTTTTCCTAGGATAATTCACCAGTCTCTGGTGAAAGGTAACTACATCCTCCAAAATGCTGACAACAAACTGCCAGGCCTCCCCTTGTCTTCCACTGCACCTGACTTTTTTCAGTCTCTCACTATATTCAGATATTTCATATATTCTTTCCATGTAAGTGGCACATGAGGTAAAGTCACATAAGGTCTTGCACTGGAATCTCACAAACTCATGATAGTTCCAACTTGCAAACAGTGAGAAATTAAACTTACCAAGATGCCTTATGTGCCACATAGGATTAATAGAGGAGTATTTTCCATGAAATACAATCAGCATTGGGGAGGTTGCCACACCACCCCCAAGGGTACTGCTATAGAGGTTTTCCCTGCAAAAGGAAAAATAAAAGAATATGTTCAAAACCTCAAGGAATCTTTAGTACAAAAGGCAGAAGATTAAAAATAAGTATCTGGCAAGGAGGAAATTCTCCTCCTTTAAGCTAGCCTCAGGAAGGGAAGATCATTCAGTGGCTTCATCCCAGGCTAAGATGGTCACCCAAAATGAGAACCAGATGTTCTCAATGTCCCTCAGGATTAAGCGTGGTTTGTGATTGAACACAAGAGTAAAATTCCAAGTGGCCATTTCCTGGTACAGAATTGGTCAGATTTAAACAGATGGAAATGCTGGAACATGAGTTACTTCACTTGACAAGATCTCAAAAGAAAGACTGCTCGAAGTTAAAAAATCCTAGAAGAGCTTTTAAATGGAAATAAAACTGTAAAACAAGTATTAAAAGTAAAGCATGAAGCTAGATTTCTACACATACTCTACGTTTCTTTGCATCCACTTTTCCAACTGCTTTGTAATCCGCTGATGTTTCCATTCAGTCATGTTACCAACAATTACTCCAGGATTGAAGGAGCAGGTACTGGGACTGATGCCAAGATCTCTAATGGCTTGCTTTCTGTAGTCCAGGAATCCCATGTATGTGTTCTAAGAAAAAAAAAAAGTACATTCATCCCCTATGAATCTCTGTAAAGATACATGTAAATGCACCTCACTCTCACTGAGAAGGAGGCTAATTATACTCTCCCAAAGATAAGTTTCTAGATGGTGGTTACCTGTCATGAGTTCTGTATGACAAGGCTGTAAGGCAGGATATTTCCAGATATTAAATTACTTTTTCCACACTATTGTACCATGGAAGTTTGATAAGGTTTTTACCTTGCTATGTTTGTTTTTGGTACCCACACTAAATCATGCAGCACCACAACTGTACCAGTACAAAAAGTCCTTAATTACCTGTTCTATTACAAAGCTATCTACATCTATATATATAAAACTTTCATTTTGGGGAAAACACATAAAATCACCTTATATTTATAGGCAAACACATTCATTATTAGAATTCCAGAATGGCATCTTACCTGCATCCCTACACTTCTAACCATTTCATGTGTAGAAGGCAGATCACAATCATCTGAAAAAGCTGCTGCATGTCCAGGAGCTAACTTAGTATTGTAGAGTTCCTGGATGTCACCTAATTACAGAAAGGTCACAAGCATGAGACAAGACCTACTGCACTGCTGCAGAGCTGATAGGATAACATCAGCTCTCATATCTTATACACACACCAGTTTTAAGGATAGCCCCTATTGAATTTTGTAATATGGGACCATTTTCAAATTTGCATTTGGATGTCTAAGGTCTTTCTTTAGATATTATCATTGGTATTCAATACATTAATATTATGTTTATCCAAAATCAGCTACAGCAGAAGCCAATAGGACTGTTAAAAAAGCCTGGTTACAAACTTCTGCATTCATTGAGCTTGTCTATGGAGAGGGAGGGCACAGGCAATTTTTCTGAACTCTTCAAGTCCCACAAAAGTTCCACTTCAATGTCTTGTACAGGTGAGGTTTTTCCTATTGTTATGGCATATTTATCTCCTAGGAAGATAACTGGATTCCCAGCAATGGCTGATTGAAATGTGCCTGTCACTTGACATCCCTGCTGGCTTTACAGCCCACCCAGCTTCTTCTTGGTGGAGGGAAACATTGTAATGGCTGGCACCTCACTCATCACCTGACTGTCAGGTACCCAAGATGTGCCAGAACAGTTTCAGGGCACGTGGGAAGCACAGCACTGCCACCATAATTGAGTGAGCCTGCATCCCAACCCCGTACAGCTTTTTTGCTTTTATCTCTTTTACTTTTTTACTGCTGGTCTTCTGCCAGGTCGAACAGCTGAATCAGCTGTTTCTGCAGCTGCACAACTGCAGGTTACACACGTAAGAGGAGCTGCCTGGGGACAGGAAAGGTCAGCAGCAGTCCACCATGAGGTGTGATGTGAAACTGCACCTTTACCCTGCAGCCCCACAATTCTCATCAGCTGACACCCGCAGGGAAAGAGAGAGCCCCGTGCTGGTGAGCACAGGCGCAGGCAGGGGTGAAGGGGGAGTGGCAGGCTCAGCTTGAGCTGCTCCTGAAATTGGAGTCCAAATGAAGGCCTGGAACCTTACAAAGAGTTAAATATTGCTGCTGCCCATTGATGACAGACAGAACAACAAAACCAAAAAAACAGAGATTGTCACTGGAAACACCCATGTTGGAGGAAGTCTATGGCAAATTAAAATGAGACAGAACTAGTTGTGTTTTACAAAGCAGCAAATAGTGACCCCTTTAAGTGCAGGTGGTCTGAAATCTGCCTCTAAAGAGACAAAACTATAAAAAGGTGCAGAAAAGCAGTGGAGAATTATACTTTTGTCATATACAAATTCACTAGTGTTAATGTTCTTACAACAAAGACTAATAAAGGCCCAAAAGTTTATTGTAGTTATACTCACTCCTTCCAAAGGAAATTTTGCTTAGTTGCCCACCAGGGTTAAAACACAACACTCTGGTTAAAAAGTGCTTTAAAGTATCAAGAAAATATGATAAAACAAATATGAAGACAACAGCTCTACTGAGAAAAAAACCCCAGCAATTTGGAAACAGAACAGAAAAATACTCACAAGAAATGAATCTTTAAAAAAATAATTGGCGTCAAAAGAGATCACTTGGATGATAAGAAAAAAAGCAAATGTTTTTTCAGGATTTGAATGTCTTGTAAGTGCTCCCACTCGACTAGGAACTCTGAAATCTTCATGATTCTGCAAATTGCTTTACATTCTGAGCTGAAGATGCTCAAAACCATATTTTGAGTGTTTGGAGCTTCCATCCACTTTTTTGAGTAAATTCCTCTTGCTCTCAAGAACAGCAATTCTGGATAAGGATCTGGTAGCATTTGTGGGAATTTAAATACCAGAAAGAAATGCATGTCACACACTTAATAAACATTGCAGCATCTGAGTGAAATCCATGGTATCTTTTAGCAATTGACCAGAATCAATTAAATCAATTTGATCACAATTATTCAAAATATATGCAAGTAAGTTCTTCCTCAAACTTTCATTTAAACAAACAAATTATTTGTAGTTTCCCTAAGTTCAACACTCCTAGCAGCTGCCTCAGTTTCTATCTCATATTTCCAAATGGCTGTAAAAGCTGCAATAACTTGGATTTTAATTGTTAGAAACTGCATTTTAACAGCTTACCTTGAACAATGACATCATCATCCAAATATATTACTTTCTCATGCTTCTGGATAAGCAAAGGAAGATAAAATCGAACGAAATTCAGCTATTAAAGAGAAAGAAAAGGTAAAGACTAAATAGCAAAGCTGTTTAACGCAGCAGTCTCAGGCTTCTGTCTCTATTAAGTCAGTTGGAATTTCTCTCTTTATTGAGCACTAATCAGTGACCATTTGCTTCCTTCCCCATAGCTTTCCTGCTATCTCAAACCCAGTATTATTACTATTATTGCTGTTATTACTTATCCACTATAGCCCTAACCATGTAGCCCAAATCTGTTGCTTCCTCACAGAATCCTTTAGGCTGCAAGGGGCCTTTTGAGATCCTCTTGTTCAACGTCCCAGCTGCAGCAGAGCCCACTTGAGCAGGCTGACAGGGACCATGCCCAGTTGGGTTCTGAATATGTCCACAGACGGAGACCCAACAGCCTCTCTGGGCAACCTGAGACTTTTAAACTCATGCTTTAAAAAGGCTTTTCTTTAGCTCAGAGAGAATTTCATGTTATTTGTGCCCATTGTCTCTTGCTGGTCCCCTCAAGTATTTACACACATTGATAAGAACCTCCTGAGTCTTATCTTCTCCAGACTGAAACAGTCTCAACTCTTTCCGCCTCTCATATAAAAGATGCTTCAGCCTCTTAATCATCTTTGTAGCCCACGTTAGACTCGCCCCAGTAAGCCCATATCTTTCTTATACTTGTGGGCTCAGAAGTGGACACGCCAATTTCAGATGCAGCCTCATTAGTGCAGAGCAGAGTGGAAGCAGCACCTTTCTGGACCTGCTGCAAATGCTCTTCCTAGTGCATTTTTACAGCATACATCACACCAAACATTTCAAAATGTAATAGTATCACCAATCCATTCTAAAGGAATGACTTGACTGGTGACACAGACATGGGATAACTTCTACAATAGCAATGAAGAACAGCAGAGGGAAAGGGGACTGAGAATGTAAGAACAACCATAAGAATTCAGATCATTTTACCCAGCCCCTGCTTTCACAGTGGTCCTAACCAGATGCTCAGTGAAAAATGAAAATAGAGCAAGCACGCAGAACAGTTGTTCCATGTATTCTCCTAGCTTTCAGCTATTTTCAGCTCAAGGCATTTTCTGATCTAGATGTGATCTAAATATGAACTTTGATCCTAATTGAACCCCTGTACCTTTTTACATCCACAAGACCTTCCAGCAAGGAATTCTAGAGATGCAGTACTCATTGCATGAAAAGTGTGCAACATCTCTTGTTTATGCTGTCACTCTGACTAATTTCATCTCATGGTCATTAGCTGTCGCACTGGAAGAGACATATACACACACCTCCTCCATGAAATGGAACAGATCAAGGACATTTTTAAGCCCACAAGAAGTATTAAAAACCTCAGTAATTTGTTACGTGGCATTCATTGACTCACAGGCTGAAGTAGCTCAGGACGTGATGCATCTTGTCTGATTTTTCCTTTTAGTACCATAGGATTGAATTCCACAACCTTAAATTTTATTTCTTTCAGTTTAGAATTTTCAATCCATTTTCTGTGATGGAAAGAAAAGAAGTGATAAAAGAAATATCAAGTGTTTCATACTTCCAGCAGGAAATTCACAGACACTTAGGAGAATAAGATACCTTAAAAGCTCACTTGATCTATTCTATCCCAAGACAGAATCACTTATGTCTACAGCTACTGCACATAGACCTTTGTTAAACTTATTCTTAAAATACAAAAAATCCCCCACAAAACCTCCATAAAACTAACACCCCACACACTCCCCAAACCAGAGACTCCATCTGTAGCCCAAACAACTAATCTTTCACCATTATTTACAATATTCTTCTAAGTTTTCTTGCTATAATTAAAGATTATAATTTCTTACCCTCTCTACAGTGTGTTTAAAGCTGAGGTTAGTCTTCTCCCTTTCCTAGCTTTATGTTCTTCCAGATGACTTCTATATCACCTCCTAATCATGTTTTCTTTGGACTGAACTAATTAAAATTAATTTTCATGTTTTTGTCAGATTTTTTAACACCACTGTTTATTTTCTCTCCTGACACAAATTGTGGGTACAAAGGCTACAGAATTGAAGTAGCCAGAGGTGAGAACTGCTAAGAAATGTTTTTGTTTGCATTCGCAACTTGGTCCTCTTCAAGACAATGTTTGCAAATTTGAATGCTGAAACAATGAACTGAAACGTCATGAAATTACATTCATTGAAATGTCAGGATATAATTTCCTTTCATGAAATGAAGAATTCTCATTTCATGGAAGGAAATTAAACAGCAAATCAAGGAATTAAGTGAAATTAAAAGAAGAGACATGAAAAAAAGAGAAAACTATGTAATGACGTGAAACCAGTGAAAGGAAATAGAATGAAATGAAGTACATTGAAATGAGATGAAACCTCAATAAATTGTATTCATTGGAATCTAGAGATTTCATTTCCTTTCAAGAAATGAGGAATTTTCATTTCAGGAAGGGAAATAAAATGGGAAAAGAAGGATTGAAGCAAAAAGAATAGAAAGGAAAGGAAAATTTAATGCAGTGAAATTGAGAAGAAAATTCGGAAATTAAGTGAAAACAATTAAATTGAATGGAATGAAGTGCTGTGAAATGAACTGAAATTTAATGAGATGAATATTCATTTTGAAATCCTGAGATTTCATTTCATTATAGGAAATGAAATGAGAAATTAAGGAAGGAAGTGAAATGGAAAGAAAGGAAAGTCATCACAATATTTTTTGGTTCTCGTTTTATAACTTTAATACATCATCAACCGAAATTAGCTTTAAACAGCAAGTTTTTTCGACTCTGAAGCTGAAGACCCAGCACCAGAAGAGGTAATTGCAGTTCCACAAAGTGGGATCGTGACAAGTAGGCAGTGCATCCTTACCTCACTACAGATTCTTCTACAACCTAGCTACAAAAACCTAAGAACAGGCATGGCCTGGTTATTTCACACCCCTTTGCACAACTCAGTGCCTTGTGGAGGACAAAGCTGGCCTTTTTCCATCACATACAGAATCCTGTGGGGTGCTCCCAAGACCACTACATTTTCCTGAAAAGCCCTCTGAACTCCAAAAGTGGTTATGCCTGTGCTAGGGGGAACAAAAATGTGGCTCTAACTACAGCCCAAAACAAAGCAAGGCTGGTGTGTACCGAATGTGTGGGATGGTTGTCTTCAGCCCAATGATGTAGAACAAAACATTGGCCTCTGTGTTGCTGTAGATGCTGCTGATCGCGGCCACAGCTGCACCCATCCTGCCCGCAGCAGCGCAGATCACCACTGGGATTTCTTCCTCCATTTCCTCAGGGCTCTCTAAATCCACTACAAGAAACAAATCGATTTTACAACAGATCTGGGTCACAAAAATGAGTAAGTACTACCACAAGCAGTGGAATCATTTTATCACCACTCCATTTTTCCTTACCACATCCTACACACATCCCCATCTTGCAAGGCACACAGCTTGAGCTGTTGCTAATCCAGAACCACTTGCAGGTTGACTGGACTGTTGGATGCCTCCAAATAGAATAAATAAGAGCATTCTCAGAATCTTCTACTCAGCAGGGGCACAATTCAGCCTGTCCTTCATGTAGCTGCTCATTCATATGAAATTTGGAGAGGTTTGAATACCTTTGAGACTTCTCAGTTACATTTAGTACAAATTGAACAATAGGTTCCAAAATTATTAAAGGAAGGAGGTAAGTCAAAGAGACAGTGCAATTGCATGAGCTCCACTTCTTTGGCAAGCTGGCTTGAAAGGAAGACTACAAAAATTTATACCACCAGGAAATTACTAATGATAGAAGGGAAAAAACCCTAAACTACACTGAATCAGGTCACATTCCTGCTAAAGATTTATATCCCTGATTAGCACTGATTAACTTACAGAACTTAAACAGATATAACTGTACTGGTTAAAACATAACAATTACAGTCATAACAACCCCAACAAAAAAATATTGAAAATAAGTTATTTATATTAATATAGAGTTTGTTTACCTTTACTGGCAGCAGCAAGTAAGCTATTTATATAGATACTGTATAAATAGCTTACTACATTTAATACTAGTCCAACTTTATTAACCTTGCAGTTTTCTGTCACTATAAAAATTTCAGCTAAAACTTCTGCTGTAAATATGAAGATTTGATGGTCTATCTGAAATGAATAATCAAGCCAAGAACATTCCCAAGGAGGCAAGTCATGATCAAAGTTTATTACCACTTGACAGCTCCAATCTGTTCAGCTATGTAAGGATATACTCCAGCATCCATCTACATCAGAGACATCTGGATAAAAACTTAATCAGAATTACAACTCTTAGTCATCACTATCAATCTCCCATAATTTTATTCAAGTAATTCAGGAGCAAAATGCTTTTCATCACAGACTATATGCAACAGTGTGAGTAGCTCATCTACTGCAGGACATTCAGTAAGGTGAAAAGTGCTGTTCAAGTTAAGACATGAGGAATACAAAACAGGAACATAAATGAAACTGAAGTGAGAGTCACTTACCTGTTTCATTTCTTAATGCCAAGGGCACTTGGTGAACTTTGTTATACAGAATAGCGCACACGGTTAAAACAAGAAGTACCAGTAAGATTTGGTTAACTGAAACAAGAGGGAGAATGTGTTAACAATCAATATAACAGCTAATTCCCAAGTATCTGACTAAGAAAAAAAATCCAATTTGCAACCAGTACAGGTGATAGAAGAATTTGATAACCTGTTGTGTTTTTCTCGTGTTATTTGATCAAGCTAAAAGCTTTCCATTAGAAAACACAACAATAATTCTCCCTTATTAAAGTAATCCCAAACTATCTGATTTTCATGGTTAATTTGCTCACTAAATTATACGAGTCCCAGTACATTTGGGTTATCCATACTAGAAAATTCACATGTTTCTGAATTTAACCAGGAACTCGGAACGTTGGGTTTTTCTTCCTGGCTAGTCTTTTGTCTGTTTACACTCACTTAATGAGTTAATTATTTTTATGTAGCCCTTCTATTCTGTTATGCTTCCCTGATGAAACTTCAGACACAGGAGATTTTTTATATCTATTTCAATGTTCAGATCTTGAAGGTGTACTTGAGCAAAAGACTAAAAATTCTAGAAAAACAAACCCACCATGCTAGTGAAACCAGGAATGTTTAAAAATATTTGAAAATACTTATTGTGACAGGGTAATTCAAATGAGTAAAATCAAAGCAATATTTCTGACTGTATATTCTGATTTATAGTTCTGAGAAGACTGTCTTGTACAAATTTAAACCATTCAACACAAAATAAGCATGTGCAGATGTTGTGACAGTTCACCAAGCACAACAGGGAAGGAATACATTGCCCTCATCAACATGGGTGTTCTTTGTTTCAGACTACTCTGTTACTTTTGTACCACCATAAAATGTATTTAACGTGTTCAAAAGAGCAAAAGGAACAGAGTTTTGATCTATTTTAATCAAAATGGCCAACTGGCCACAACTGGGCACAAGACTAGATTGAAATTGGTAAACCAAACCGTCACTAATTCAAACCAGCTGAGGAAAAGGCCCACTGACTTCTGAGAAATTTTGGGCACACAAATAAATGCGGAAGTCCATTTTCAGTCACTGACAATTACAGCTAATGAGAACCCCACAATTCTTGGGGCCACACCTCAATATTAAGTATGAACAGCATTAATGTGCAGAGCTCTGTAAAATTCAGCTTCAGTGCCCTGGGCACAATTCACATGAAAACAGCAGCTACTTGCAGTATTGGTGGGAAATTTCACAATCTCCACTCTCGTGAAGTAAAGCAGTGAGTAACTTTAAATTAATGTGAATTATGGTGGTACTTATCTGACAGTTAACAGGAAAAGACTTATCTGCATACTTAAAGTTATAATTTAGCAATACCAGAACTACAAATTTGTATGCAACTCTGAAAACAGTTGCATGAGAAATTGGATTTGACATTTCTGTCCTCTTTTAAAAAGTACATCTTTTAAATGTGTTTAATCTCTCTTACCTTTCTTTAAAAGAGCCATGTGTCCTGTTGGATGAGAAGTATGATCTGTGGTAAACTAAAATAAAAAATAATTAAAATGAAAAAAAAAGGAAAAGAGAGAAATATCATTATTTCCACAAGTGAATTCTAGTTAGTTATATAAAGGTCTAGGTTTTGGATTATCAAATTTTACTGCTGAACTGTAAATTACTGTAATTGCAGTAAAACTGCAATTATCTCTGTAACTACATTTTTGTTTTTGAACAAATGTTAATTTTATGTGTTTGAAATATTTTTATTAATAATTTAAGCAACTAATAGGTTGTGAAAAACATTTTCATAAATCCCATCTGATCATCCATGTCAGTAGGCGATTTCTAGTACACTTTAAGATACTGTGCAAAGTAGTATTAAAACATCCACTAATGCAATTTATAAATATATTTATCTCTGATTTCACCCCCAACATAGTAACTATAGCAAATACTGGAGTCTTGCTGGAGTATGCATTCCCAAACATATGGGAACCTTATACCAGGGCAGTGTCTTCTAGACCCTCAAAAATTTCAGAGCAATAGTGCAAATATTTTCTTACAGCTGTATTCTTCCAGTGGGTGTAGTGGGCTTGTATTTATGTATATTTTTTGTGATGCTGAAGAAAAGGAGGTAGCCTTCCCTAAAACTGTGCTTCTAGTCCAGGCCTGAGAAGACAGAACATAATCCCTAAATTACAGGATTATGAGAAATACAACATTTGTTTAAATTCTGGACCCAAAACAACTGTTTATGAAAGAAAACACAAAGCACACCCAGGCCTGAGAAGACAGAACATAATCCCTAAATTACAGGATTATGAGAAATACATGTGTTTGAATTCTGGACCCAAACCAACGGTTTATGAAAGAAAACACAAAGCACATAACCAAAACAACAACAACCAACAGTAAAAACAGCACTAGAAGTTGGATGGGAGAGAAAAATCCAGCTGTGTGATCTAACCTTTATACTATGTAGGGATAGAACAAAAAACAATTTTTCCTGCTTCGACACCGACAGATATGGACACATTACAGCACAGATTAAGATATAAGATTGGTTCTACACGCACATAAAAGTGAAGTTTATCCCAACTCCTTGACAAATCAGATAGAACAGCAAGAATTCTCGAAATCTGAGTCACAAAACTGACCACCTCCCATTGGTTAGTGCTCAAGTTCAGGCAGAATACTAAATTAGTCTCTACTTTGACCAACAAGTTAAATGACAACAACAAAAATATATGAAATCTAAGATGTGGCATTGTTTACAAACCCCTTATATTCAAATGTATTTAAGTCTCAGCTAATGGCTAAATTGCAGTGAGAAAGGAGTACTCTGGAAGTTCTTCCACATCTGCACTACTTATCTACATTCCAGGAGACCATTCTCTTCATGTGGCATTAATATACACAGAGGAAATCAAGCTTATCTGTTGGAAAAAAAACCACAGCTGAGAAAGCCTTTCCCTCACGCACTACACAGAAGTTTTACTTTCTTTTACACTTAAAAACTTTACTCATTTAGGTAAGCAGAGAGACAACAGAATCTGCTACACTTTTGGACTAATTTTCTAACCCCACTTTAGCTGATGACAATCTTCTCCTGATTTCCATAGAGCTGCCTACTATCTTTGAATTAGCATTCACAACAATAGCCACAAACAATCCTGATGATCACTGCAAGATGAAAGCTGCACAGCCACAGCTTCATGTTATCTCCAGAAATTATTAAATCCACATAAACTGACCCATGTTTTAAATGTTAAAATCAAAAGACAGACTCTCACACAAGTCTGAGTTCTAGAACTATAGCATTCCTAAGCCCCTGAAACACCAGTTGATTACCTACTGATTTTTAAGAAAAGAGGGGTACATTTGTGCCCCTGCAAATATTCACTCATTTACTGTAGACATTATTTCCTGGAACCTGGCAGTCCCTAACTCAGCTGCCAAATCCTGTAACAAAACGAGAGGCTGCAGAAGGGAAAGCTCAAAAACAGTGACATTACTGCTCAGATATTTCCCGCTTAATTAAGTCTTTTTACCTCTTCAAAGCAGCACAGTATTCGGGACTCCTCTCTCCTGAAGCGCTGTAGAGTTATTTACTTGGATCCTAGATACAGCCCACAGCTGTAAGCACTCTTGCCAAAGCGTCCTCGACCACCATCCTCCTTTGAAGTCACCCCCACAAGGGCCTTACAGGGCACAGTAACAGTTTTATGATTCAATTCCTTTTTTGAACTCTTCAAAGTTTACTTTGGAGTTGTGCTGGTTTTCTTTCCTTTCTCTGCTGCTGAGGAATAGCGCAGAGTCCAGACGCTGTGCTGGAGGAATGTGAGCACATAAACCACTTCCAGATGTGCAGAGTGATGATACAGCCCCAGATCTGGCAAACTTGCCTCAGAGCTTCAGCTAGCAGATTGCAAACAAATCCCACAAGACAAAAAGTCTTAAAGGGGTGGGGGAAAGAGAAGGAAACAAACCCTTCCAGAAGTTACTTCCAAAATCTAGCTGCAAGTTATGTTTTTAGCCATTATTTATGGTAAATGTGAACAGGTAACTAGTGTGCAAGAGCCAGACTACAACATGCCAAAGTCTAACAGAAAGTCAAAGTTTTTCCAATGTCTGTTGGCAGAGTTCTTGAGAGTCAAAAGCTAAGGAAAACTTGCAAAAGTCAACTCTGAACATGCATTTTGACTTGAATCATCTAATTTCCTAATCTTTGAGCATTTAATCCACAGGTTTGGTTCAGATTCAAAAGGATCTTGGATCAAGGTAAGCAGCACATGGTGATACCCTGCCTACTAAGCTCTCCTGGAATGCTTTTGCAGTTTTCTTTCTACAGCACTTCTTTTATTTGAATTCTGTCCCTCCCTTCTAGGAATGAGCTTTCTAAATGATAAACCACTGTTTTTTACCAAGACTTGAATGAGTACTGAAAGGAATAACAATAAACATCTTCAACTCTAAATTATTTTTCGTATTTTTATTGTGAGACAGTGCCAAATTTATGAGAAATAGTCAAAAAAAAGGTCTTAAATCTTAACTATTTTAAATGACGATTGCTCCATTTGCAGGAGCCAAAAATGTGAGATTTCAACTCTGTGCCCCAAACATGCCCAAACTGTATTATCTGTGTCTGATTTTGTACAGGAATCTCTCCTCTGCTTGAATAAAAATTAAATGAAGCCTTATACATACAGTTATATGATTTGTGCAGATGGCCACAACTATTAGTATTTTGTTGTGCTATGATATTTAAGTTGTATTAAGCTCATGTTCATCACAATCCACCCATGTTTTCTTCACCTTCCCTTCCATTTCAATGTGAATTTGAACAGATCTGAGCAGCACGCAGTCATGTGAGCCTGCAGAACTGGGACTGGCTCCTTCACCTGGCAGAGCCCTCGGGATTACTGGCAATGCAGTAACACCTTCACAGAATCAGGTTGGAAAAGCACTCTGAACCCATTAAGTCCAACCTACAACCAAGCACCACCTTGTCAATTAGACCACGGTGCCACATGTGCCAAGTGCCACATCCAGTCCTTCCTTAAACACCTCCACCACAAAAACCCTGGGCACCCCATTCCAATGTCTAATCACTCTTTCGATGAAGAAATTCCTCCTAATGTCCAACCTCAATTATATATGTCAACATCATCATTTACCGTGTAGAACTCAACAATGAGAAGAGACTTTTAGCACCAGCTACACCTTCTTTGGACTACCCACAGCATCACACGTTTATATTTTCAGAAAACACGCCCCTCACACAGGAAAGAGCAGCTTCTCTCCTGCAGAACGAGACCTTCGAATTCACTCAGGTCACCCGCTGCCAGCTGCAGAACCGAAACTCGGTTGCTAATCTCAACCTTCAATGTTTAAACAGGAACTCATTTCTTTCTCGCCGCACACCTCGCAAGCAGCAGCATTGCCTCGCCTACCACTAGCCAGTTAAAAAAAAAAAAATTAAAAAAGGGAGCATGCTATGTGTTTCTGAGGGCTCGGCGGCAGAGGGGGTGCCCCAGGCAGAGGGGCCCACGCCGCGCCCGCGGTGCCCGAGCGCCCCTCGGGCGGAGCGCGCTGCAGGCATGGAGCCCCTCCACAGGGACCCCGCGGGGCACGGCCGGGCCCGGGCGCGCCGCAGGAGNGGGCTGCGGCGGAGGCGGCCGCGGGGCGGGACACGGACCCGCCGCCCTCACGTCAGCGCTCCCCCTTCCCCGGCGGGCTGCCCCGGCCGCGCGGTGCGTTGTGGGAGCGGCGCTGAGATGGCGGCGGCCGCCGCCGGGCTGAGCTGGAGGCGGGTGTCCTCCTTCACGGGGCCGGTGCCGCGCTCCCGCCACGGGCACCGCGCGGTCGCCATCCGAGAGCTGCTCATCATCTTCGGCGGCGGCAACGAGGGCATCGCCGACGAGCTGCACGTCTACAACACGGGTGCGCGGGGCGGGGCCCCGCCGCGGGGCGGGCGGAGCGGGGGGGACAGCGGCGGGGCTGTCCCGTCCGCGGCCGCCGGTGGCACCGGGCTCCTCACGGCGCCGGGGATCCCCCCAGGCCTCCCGCCCTCCCCGGCGCTGCCCGCGGGAAGCTCGGCGGAGGGGGCGGCGGGCGGGCTGAGGAGCTGGCCGGAGCCGACATGGCGGGGCGGCAGTCCGCCTGGGCCAGGGGTCTGTCTTCCCCGGGGTGGTGCTGCGGGGTCGGTGCTCCTCGCTGGGGCAGTGCCAGCGCGGGATCGCCCGGTGCGCGTCGCGGCCGCTCTGCCGCTCCCGCTGCCGCGCAGGGATGCGGAGCCTCGCTTGGCTGGCAGGTCGGGCTGAATGGCGGCAGGCGGGATTAGTCCCTGCGAGTGTCCGGATCCCCCTCCTTCCCTCTGCTGGCGGTAGCTCACCAGAGCCGAATGCGCTGGAATGGGAATCTTGTTTGGAAAAGTGAACATGTTGGCATCGGGAGCCTTTCCAAACAGGAAGCTGCCCAAGACCGATTTTATTTATGAAAGAGCAGATGCCCAAATAATTACAGTACGGCATGCTGGATGAGGCTGGAAAACTTGCGTGCAATTTCAGGGCTTGGGCCGAGACGGGGGAGCTCGGTGACTGGTCTGTGCTTCTCAGTCAGACAGTGTTGGCTGCTTGAGGTTTTTCCAGGCAGATTTTTCTCAGATAACTTAAAGATCTACTATGCTTAAATCACATTTCTGACAGGAGAACGCAAAAATCTCTTAACCTTTCTGTTCTGACAAGTAATCCAAAGAAAACTCTTAACATAGCTATGCTATCAGAACTGAGGTTCTGATGGGTGCCTTTTGAATGAGTCTTATCGTGACTTGGTTTTTTTTCTTCCCAGACTTTCTGCTTAAGGAGTTTCCCCTTTGCAGCATGTGACAAAAAGTATCATGACTTAGTTGCTCCAGTTTCTGGATGAGTGCTTGGCCCAAACGGACCTTTTTTATTCTGGGGTTTAAGATGCAGGGTTATGACCTGAGCTGCCCGAGTGTGGGATGTCATCCATGGCCCTTGCTGTGCATGTGATGATTTTTGAGGAGCTGGCACACAGTGAGAGCATCTTAAACCCCTGCAGCAACGCTCACTGGAAGCTTCTAATTTCCTGCTTCTCTTCGTGCTCATAAAAAGGTGTAGGAAAACGAAGACATTGTCTTAAATTCCAGAACAGTTTAGGCATCACTATGCTGCTGCTGCTGGATCAGACAGTCTCAGTTGCCTTTTTTTTTGGCTCTGTGCCTCTCCTCTCCCACTCTGTGGATATTAAAATGGGTCCCAGAACAGTGTAATTAGTTTTTGAATAGGGCTATTAAGTCCAGGCACAGTGCCATGCTGCTGTAGCTCTAATAATTCTGTTTCTAGGGCTAGCTCCCTCTGAGTTAGCGTGGTTATCTCTTTTGTGTGGAACTGCACTGGTGTTCCTCATTAGCCTCTATTCTTGGCAAGTCTGTTAAATTGTTGGGTGACCCTTCATGACTGACAGTTGCAGTGACCTCATGGGCTCATTCATATACTGAGTAACATTGGTTTGATAGAGGTGTTTGCTTTCCTTGTTATTAAAGAGAATAAGAATTCATTTAAAACTTAGTGTGAAGCAAATAGCCTTAGTTATCTGCAGATAAAAGGTAGTTCTTTAGAAAGCAGAGGCGTTTAAAAATGTATGTTCAGTGTTTGAAATATTTTTCTAATCTATTTTTCTGGGTTTTGGCTTTTTATTTCCTACTATAGTTACGAATCAATGGTTCCTTCCTGCTGTAAGGGGAGATATTCCTCCAGGCTGTGCAGCGCATGGATTTGTTTGTGATGGTACCAGAATACTAGTTTTTGGAGGAATGGTTGAATATGGAAGATACAGCAATGATTTATATGAATTACAGGTAGGAAATGTATGAATATGTTTTGATTTTCAGGACTACTATATTTATCTTTTTATGAAGAAACACATTTTATTTTACCAACTGCAGAGGAAATTTAGATGATCTTTGCTCTTCTGAAGATTTTTTTCCATCTTAAGAATTTAAAGTTTATTCTAAATAACTTTGAAATGGAGACTTTCATCTAGTTTAAATAAAGTATAATATATTTAGTATTAAGGTTAGCTCTTACATATCCCTTTTAATGAATGTTCTAAGAAAAGCTCAGGAGTCGCTTAAAAATAATTCAGAAAATATATAACTGTTAATATTATATGAATTATATTTGTTATGACAGATTATCAATGAAATTATTTTTAAATAAATTTTTCTTGTCTTCAAGGCGAGTCGATGGCTCTGGAAAAAAGTAAAACCTCAAGCTCCTTCAAATGGATCACCACCCTGTCCTCGGCTTGGCCACAGCTTTTCTTTGTATGGTAACAAGTGCTATTTATTTGGTGGCCTGGCAAATGAAAGTGAAGATTCAAATAACAATGTTCCCAGGTATGGTGATTTGTCTTTGAATTGAATGGCTTTAAAAACAAATTATTTGATTTGACAGCTTTGAAAAGATACATTCCAGGCAGGCTGTCCTGCACACCAAATGCTCAAAGTTGCATTATTTGTGCAGTGAAGGGGTTACATGCAAAGAAGGTTAAGTATTCCTTCTGCTAATCCCACAATATGGAACACTGAGTGATAGCTCTGACAGTTTTGTAGGGAAACCTGAGTAGGCTTTCGTATTTCTCCTGGTCTTTTGGGTGATGTTTTTAAGAATGGCTTGTTTGTAAGAGTTACCTTAATCAGCAGAGTCTGATGAGTCATCAGGGAATTCATGATGGATGTTTCTTCTGTATTGCTGTGAAAAACAGTTATCAATTCATCTGGAAATTTTTTACAGTAACAGCTGAAGTTGCCATTGTAAGAACCTGTGCTATAATGCTGAAGTTTTATATGCACATTCACCTGCAGTTCAGAGCACTTACATCCACTGAACTATAAGCTGGCAATTTCAAGCTCAGTAAACAAAAGATATCTGGTGTGAATGCCAAGATTCAAAGACCATTATTTAAAAATAACTTGCTGGTAGATTCAGCAACAATTGTGCATTGGCCAGCCTGAAGACACAAGAAAACAAACAGCTGCTTCTTATCTTTGTTGCCTTAAGAGTTGCAGAAATTTCTCTCTAATACCTCTTGGCATCATGTATTTCCCACAGCTTTGCGGTTTATTGTGTGTCTGTATGTAGCAATTTTTGCAAGAAATGTTTCTTTCATGTAATACAGTGTAGCAAATAAGAGAACATGTCTTCTCAGAGGCAACAAGTTACAACTGTTAATTTTTTTCTCGTTTGAAAACCATTTTGAATTCAGATTTGGTACTGCCCACAATGCATCAAATGTTTTGAGAGTTTAAAACTCTGTACCCTCCCAAGACAGAAGTAATACCTGGAAGTGGTTAGGCTTTAAAGTGCACTTGTTGTCATGCTTATAAGTGAGTATTTCATGCTTTGACAATAATACTCTAGATATTTAAATGATTTCTATGAACTGGAGCTGCAACATGGGTCTGGCGTGGTCGGCTGGAGTATTCCTGTGACCAAAGGAATCTTGCCATCACCCCGAGAATCTCACACAGCCATAGTGTACTGCAGAAAAGATGTGGGAAGCCCAAAGATGTATATTTTTGGAGGCATGTGTGGCTGTCGGCTTAACGATCTCTGGGAACTTGACATAGGTGAGTTGGTTTGCCAGCAGAAGTCAGTGCTTACTGGCTGAGGGGAAAAATTACAGCATAGAATGGTTAATGGCGTGCTGTGGTGTAGATATTATTGAGACTCACACCATAGTGTTAACCTTTTGTAATATTTGGAATTAAATATATTGTTTGCATATATTATCCTCCCTGATTATGGGTACTCCATGAGACAGATATCATAGCCTTTAAAACACTCTAAAGAAACCAAGTTGAATAACCATAATGACACCATAATTTATGTTTTTGATAAACACTTAGTTTATCAATATTTCCTGTGATTTTTTTAAAAAGAAGTTCCAAGTGCTTGTTATTGCACACTTTTTCTAAAAGTAGCCATCTTAAAAAGCTGAAATTTAGCTTTGCTGAATATTAGAGGTAGGTTCCCTCCTAAAATCCAGGTACTGAAATATGTAGCAACAAGATCTTTTTTTTTTTTTTTGAGGATTTTATTCTCTTTCTTTTAGAAACCATGACCTGGTCAAGACCAGAAACCAAAGGGACAGTACCACTTCCTCGCAGTCTCCACACGGCCAATGTAATAGGCAACAAGTATGTCTGTTGTTAAAAGCTCAACTCTAGAAAGGTACACCTAGTAGGAGAATGATGATGCTTATCCACTACTGCTCAGTATAAATATCAGCCCTGTAGAGTAGTTTCCTGCTGCTGTTTCAGTGCCACTATTAACTCAAGGGTATCAAGCTGTCAATGTTTCCATCCAGCAGGACAATCTGCCCAAGCCACCAGCAGCTTTCTGGGCTTCTTGGAGCACCTTTGTGCATTCTGGGGCAGCCCCAGCTGGGCCTGAGCTCTGTCAGGAGCGAGCTTCAGAGCCTCTGTGTGTGTGACACAGATGAGGTAGCTATGCAAAGAAACTTCTCAAAGAGTAAAACTAGTTCCAGGCAAAACTATTCCCCGCTTTTTCTGCAGTCTGTCCCTCATTACTCTGCTTCTTGCCCATATGGTTTGTTTTGGCAGGTAGCATTGATAAAATGGATTTTTAAACATAGGTTTCAGTCCATTTTGTATCAATTTACAAGCTGGCATGAGGAGAAAGAGGCAAGGGAGTGAAGAGGTACAAAAGCTTTATATCTTCTGATCCAACAACTTAGCTTTTTATTATTTACTTAAAATGTTGGTAGTTTGTAGCCTGCATTATATTTTTAAATTTTGATATCTGAAGTATATCAAAATTTAATATGATGCTAGTCATCTTATTTTAGCATGACTTACTGAGGGCTCTGCAGTAAAGGATTGTAGAAATTCTGTTGTATGTAAGGGATTTTTGGAGAGCATTAGCAGTTTGATGGTTTGCTAAATGTTACAGTATTAATTGTTGTTTCTAAGGAGTTGTTTGAGAAGTTTCTGGCACTTTTTTGTGTGGTTGAGTTTTTCAATCAGTCAGTTTACTCAGAAATTTCAGGAGGTAGATGTCTACAACAGTACTTCATAAAGACAGTAGATACAAATAAAATTTGCTGTGAACCAGAACTGTAACACACTGGAAAATTTCCTTTTTGTCCTAGTTTGAGAGAGCACATGCAACACATCTAGATGTTAATTGGTGTTTCTTTTCTTTTCCCCTCTTCCCTCTTTTTCTATATTTCAGAATGTATGTTTTTGGTGGATGGGTTCCACAGTCAGCAGAAGGTGAAATTTCTGCTCCTGATGGTGAATGGAAATGCACTGGTTCCTTTTCTTACCTTAATTTGGGTTAGTGTTTCTACCTTTCTGGGAGTGGGTATTTTGAATTAATATTTTCTTAACAGAGTAGAGTAACTATTTTGAAGACCTTGAAAAAAGCTTTGGGATAGATAGTTGTAATCCTGGCTGACTAAAGAAGTTGCCAGTTTTTTGCACTTTACTTAAAAAGTAATATTTTAATTATTATTTTTCTTTGAAGATTTAGCAGGTTTGCTTCTTCAAATCTTTATTAATACAACTTTAATGCTAAGTAATGCACATACTCTTTCATTTATAGAAGAACACGGGAGACAGAATCTGAAATGAGGTTTTTCTAAGCATGTTAGTACTATCCCTGAATTCTCAACTTCTGATCTATTTGCCTGAGAGAGATAACCAGAGGTCAGAAAGTTCAGCCTGTATGAATTGATTTTATCTTGCATGCTAATTGGAAAGTGACCTTCTCTTCATAATATTTCCATTTTAAATGCAGCTGTCTATAAAAAGGTGATTTATTTTAATTTTTTTTTTCTGAGCAGTTAAGTGTGCTAATGTCTTTATTTCTTGTTTTGGAAAACATCTAGAAACTAAATGCTTTGAGTTTCATTTACTAGATACCACAGAATGGATAGGTCTGATCTCAGATTGCCAGGAGGACAAAAGTAACATGTTACCAGGGCCAAGAGCAGGACACTGTGCTGTAGCTGTTGGCACTCGTCTGTATATCTGGAGTGGTAGAGATGGTTACAGAAAAGCTTGGAACAATCAAGTTTGCTGCAAAGATCTTTGGTACCTTGATACTGGTGAGTGAGAAATAAATAAGAGACTTGTACTATGTTCTGTGTTTTATTAACATATGGAAAGCTTGCATGATTGATGATCAAACATTAAAGCTGTAGCAAACTTGAAGAGTATTTACATTTTAAAAATTGTTTTTAAATCATGCTTTACTGCTGGTTGTTTAAAGGCTATTACTTAAACAAAAAAAATTAGGAAGGCTTCTTTAAAGCCTCTGGAAAAACTTGTGCTAAATTCTGCTCTGCACGCCATAGTCAGTTGATACAAGATGCTAAAGATTGTTTTGCCTAAACTCAGGGTTCCTGGTCTCTTTTTAGTTATCTTTTCTGCTACTACTTACTTTTTTCACCAAATCCCTTCTCTTGGGATTGCTGCTGCTGCTGCTTCCTCATCTCTTGGACTGCAAAAAGATACTCTTCAATCTCAGAAAGGACCAAATTTTTACTGGGGATGAAGGGAATTCTGGAAACTAGTCACTCATTAGTAGTTGCATTGATAGCAGGACACTGAATTGGGAGAGAGGGAATTAGAATAGAAGGGGTTTTTTTTCCTGTTTCATTTTTCCCTCAGAAAATGAAGAAGAGTAGCAGAGAGGGGTGTGCTTAAGACTGCAGCCTGGTCAGGCATACAGGCATGTGAGAGGAGCAAGCCATTGGCATTAGTCATGTCCAAGCTTCAGCCTGCGCAGAAGTTTGAGTAAAAGTTCACTTCAGCTACACAGAGCAAGCAAAAAGGAAGAGGAATAATTTATGAATTAGAGGAATATGTAAAGCTTTAGGAGCCAAAGAGCTACCTGCAACACTTCAGGAAAGCACAAGGATCTCCTGTCTCTGTAATCCCTATAGTGATGTAGCTGCAACCCAAAGGCCTACTGGCAGCAGAACCATTAAAAACAAAGCATCAAAACTGGAGCATTTTTGAACACTTTGAAAAGACACTTTGTAGTTCTCTGACTTGACTTGTCCCCTTGGACAGTGGTTTCTTGTTGAATATATGTTGGTATATACTGTACAGTGAAAAAGGAGTGACTGATTTTCCTTGCAATATGCGGATATTTAATAAACTGGTATGGGAGGGCAATTTCTAACATGCCATCTGTGTTTTATTGGTTCCCTGTAGAGAGACCTCTAGCACCATCACAGGTACAGCTGATCAGAGCTACAACCAACTCTTTTCAACTGAAGTGGGATGAAGTACCTACAGTTGAAGGATATCTTCTTCAATTACATGCTGACTCACCAGTGCCACCGGTGGCTGGAGTTCCTGACACTGGCGTTCCTGAGACATCCGTGCTGAGTTCACAAGGTAGCAGTCAGATCACATTACACTAATGCTTGTGCACAGGCAGACTGGAGGATTGCATAAGTAATAAATATGAGTTTGTTTTTTAAAGAACCATTCTGTGTGAGAGAGACCCTGTTTCTTTGGTTATTCTCCAAATGCCTGCATCATCATTATGGCAAACTCCCCTTTCACTTGTTTCTATAGGTTTTGGCCAGCTATCTGAATTATGAAGACATACGTAGAATTCTGGGCACAAGTTGAGAAAGGAAACAGTGAGGAAGGGATTTTATCTGACTGTTTAGCCATACAATTTCATTTCAGACTTACAATAAAGTTTTCCTTCAGGCAATTTTGGCCTCCCTTTTTCTTACTGAAATAGGTTAAAACCATCATAATATTAAGTTTTACATAACTGATGGTAATTTACTTTTGTTTACCTGCAAGGTGGCTGTTCTCTCCATCAGAGTCTACAATCATTGCCTAGCGTCCCTTATGCAGAAATGAAGGTGGATCATCCTAGCCAAACAAATAATCCCATTCCTAATAATGTAAGTGTAAGCTGAAAAATGCTTCAGTGTCAAAACGGTATGGGAAGGTAGTGAACTGCCAGAACATTTCTCAGTTTTAAAACTCCCTGCATACTTTTTAGGTCTTAGGAGAAAAAAAAAAAAAGAAAGACACCTGCTGAAGTAGTTGTCTGTTTTCTTACATACTTCTTGCTTTTATGATTGAGACACAGTCTTTCAAGTCCTCTTCTTGTTAATGCAGAGGGGAATTGCAACTGTATTGTCTTCCACAATGCCAACTGTGAGTCTGATACCAAAAGGAATACCATTCATCCTCAGAATGTTGGTGACATTAATGTGGGAAGCAAAAAGAATAAGGCATATTCCTTCTTTGTTAGTCTAGTTTAGTTTTATGCTAGTCTGCTTATTTGTAAGTGCCTACAGCAGGTTAAATCCAGTTATTATCTGTGGTGTGCAGTTGTACGTGTTCCTCTGTTTCACCAATTTAACAGAAATAGTGAGGACAAACTCTGGCCAAAGGATCCCGTTTTTAGAACTTTGGATCATTTCTTAGTTGTGTAAAGTCTGAGATCTGTATGGGATCCATAATGTATTCCTGGAGAAAACACATGTAGAAATGCCATAAATTTCACTAAGAGTAGAAATATCTCAACTACATGTAAGGAAAGCAAAGGTTGAAAGCCTCTGTAATTGTGATTTTCCCCATTGCCCAAAGTCCCCCCAGCAGACTATACACAGCAATGAAATGCCATGTAATGATAAAATTTAGTGTGACTGTTCCAAGTCAACTCAGTGTTTGAGTCTTTGTTTTATAATGACTAAGATAAGGATTAAGAGATTGATTTCTTGGTCTAATTTAAAGTACTAGAAGGAATTGTTGGGGGAGTTTATATTGTTGTTTATGAGCAAGCATTTTCATGCCATGTTTGCAACTGAAAATTTGAACTTCGCAGTTTAACATTAACAAATGTGTTGTTTTGGTTAGGTCCAAGTTGCCCTTTCATCCAGTTCAAAAGTAGAAGGAAAAGAAAAGGTTACAGCACCTGAAAACAAGGTTACACAGGAGACTATGAAAAACCACACAGATGCTACAGGATTCAAAGAATCAAATGCCCCTTCTCTTTTGCCTGTTTGTACTTCAAGTAAGATGACTATAGAAAAAAATAGAGGAAAAAAAAGTGAGAGTTAAAATTCATCTCAAAAACATAAAATAAGGTTGTTTCTGTCTTGTAGTTTAAAATTATTTAAGAGTCCTTTGTGGTTTATGAAACAAAACTTGTGTTAGTTATTACTGAAAGTATTTTTAGAAGATACAAAGAAAATTGAAATCTTAACTTGTTTGAAGTGTTGCAATTCTCAATATATTAATTATTATGATGGAAAATCTGTCTATTTAAACATTAATAGCCATTTTTAGCATCAAGTAAAAGGGGACAGATGATATTTTACAACATTATGATGATAGTAACTCCAAACAGACACTGTGTCTGTCTGTTAGCAGTGAAAAGCTGTTGGCTGATGTAAAATTTCAGGCAATGTAGAGACAAGCATGTTTCTCTCTGACTGTAGAGGAAGTAAAAAATGACAAGGCTCTGATTTATGCATTTCACTGAAGTGCCTTAAGTTCAGTGTAGTGAATCCAGGCTTAATCACCTTTATATTTGATCTCAATGTATTTTATAGATAGTTGGATTTTTATTTTCTTCACAGTGTAATTTAATGAAATGTGGAAATTTTGGTTCTTACTGCTAAGTGATAAACAGACTTCTACAGGGTTAATCTTAAATTGATTGTTAGAAATCTATGATGCTGATTTGTGTGGATGTTTTATTTTAGTAGGGTTTTTTTCCCAAATTAATTTTTTTGTGACCAGATACATAAAAACCAGCAAGCTTAAAATAACTGTTTGCATACACCTATTTGTGACTGTGGAGACAGACTCCTGTTCAGTTATAAACATAAAGTAAGCATTAGCAATCAATATAATCAGATCTGTTCTAACCTAATTCTGTGCTAAACTCAGGCTTTATATGAAACTAAATCCATTAGACCAAGATGAGATTTGGTGTGTTATGAATATTGAATTCTTGCTAATGTTTTCTTCTTTTTTAAGGTGCTCAATCATCAGCAAATGTAGGTGAATTACATGACTTGGACAAACAAAGTGTAAATCCTGATGCTTCTGTATCCAGTACTGTCTCCAGCACACAAACTATGGTAACCCAGCAGGCTGTTAAAACTGAATCATCAAGTACAAATGGGGCAGTTGTTAAAGATGAAACTTCACTAACAACATTCAATTCAAAATCTGAAGGTTTGAAATGTGTTTCACATACTGTATTTTGAGCCATATATTTCTAAGGCCATGAGAGTTCCTATAGTGTGGTGGGATTCCCATCTTGAGTAGTACCTGGGCTTTGATAGGGCTTTAGATAGGGCTTTGGGCATTGAAGACCTTGTGCAGCGTGGATGATCTCTGCTAGGGTTTATACATCTTTTAAAATCAGGATATTCCTTCTATGCATTTGTAAATCACCATGTTACCTGTAAGTCACAAATGTTCATTTGTGCATAGGTCCATTTTCTAAATATCAGTGGTAGCCTGTTTTGCTGCTCGGTGCACATTTACTTTCATTCAGTGCTTGTCTATTTAGTCAGCAAAAGACTAAAATGGTAACCTTGGATGATTTTGACTTTAAGCAACTGACCTCTGTAATAAATATGGCCAGTTAAAGTGGCCAGCTCACTGCTGGTCTAATGTGCTAGCCTCTTCACAGTCTGCTGGAAATACCCAAAATAAGCAGCAATGCAGAACATAAATGGGCAGTTTTTCAAGTTTTGTTTCTGACAAATATCCACAGGCAGTGCTTGTTATTGTTTTGAGTGTTAACTAAAGAACTGTATTCTCATATTGATGTTGTGTGTATAGTGTGATTTTTACCAAGGAGTATTGTATTTTAAGAGCAAAACCCAGGAACACAAGAATAGAATACTAATACTCCCATCTGTTACGTGGTTAATCTTTTTTTTTTCTTTAAAGATTCCATGTTAAATTTAATGAATGCTCTGTTCCCATTTGTTAAGGTTGTTTACAGTTTAACTGCTTATGTTCAGAACTCAGACTGTATTGATGTCAGAAAAAATGCAATCAGATTAAGAATTCACACTTAGACTATTCATACAATATCCCCAGCATGTGTCTCAATTTGGTATTTAGATTATTTGTTCACAAATATTTTATATCAATTTCATAATGCTGTCACTTTTTACGATTTTCTGAGTCCTGCCTTCTGTTTGTATTATCTGTAGCAGCCTCCAATGCCAGACTCTCAGAATTGTTCTTTGAATTTGATAGAAGCCAAAATTAGTTTGTGTTATAAATAGAACTGCATGCAAAAGAAGTCTGAGATGTTCTTGTGCAACAAATACTTGTAAATAGCTATTGAGGTCAACTTTCATACTCTGTGGTTTTGTATTAAATTTTTTCTATTGCTTCCATTTTTAAAATTTAATGTTTTGTTTTTAGCTGCTGAAACTGCTTATGTCACACCTTCAGCAAGGGTCAGTACTGGACAGACAAATGATTCACACTCTTCTGTAAGTCTGAAAAAGTATTATCAAATTGCTTTACCTATTGTTCTGTTGATTAGTTGTAAGGGCTCTTCTGTTTTCCTTTAATTATAGTTTTGAAAGAAAAGCAGTGTTTATTTTGAGCTTGGAGTGAATAATACAGGGGTAAACATTTCTGTTGTAAAACTAATTGCATTGTGTGGGTTAGATGTGAGTCTAAGTAGCAGTTGTGTAGTTGGGAGGAGATCCAAGTACGTGTTTCGGCTGTTGAATCGTTTTTATCAACTGGCACAGTGGAATGGTCTCTGCTGCATGATGTGCAAATGTAAAAAGTTTTCCTGTATGCACAACTGAATTTAGAATGAAATATGTATTAGAACAGACTAGTGTTAGCTGCTGATTCTATAGATTTGAAACGTAACTGAACTGACATCTTGATGTTTTTCCCTAGAGGAGATGGGGACTGACTATGCAAGCTGTAAATACTGCCTGAAAAAGTAAATGCTTCCTATTTCACCTGCTTACAACTTAATACACAAACCCAAGGTGCCACTGTTGTCACCAAAAGCGAGGAACTAAGTCTGGGGAGAAGCAGCTGCTACCAAAGGGTGGGGTGCTTTTGCCAAGAGCAGCTGCAGCTCCTGCCCCATTTCCATGCTAGCAGGATCATGGCCTGTCCGTGCAGGGCACCTGACTGTGCAAGTGCCCTCCCTGGTGCCTGGAGACCAGCAAGAAAGCCAGTTTGTGTTACTGGGTCAGTCAGGAGCAGTTTGCACACCCTCCATCCCCATGGCCCCACGCCACAGCAGAGGGCTGTTCTCAGCTGCAGGCAAGTTCTGCAGTGCCTGACAAAGAGCAGCGTGGGGCTGAGGTACAGCTGAGCCCCAGGGGGAGCTGATGATGTTGGACCACCTTGGGAAACTTCTTGACCTCTGAGAGAAGGTCAAGACCTTCTCTTAACTACATGCTGCTACAGACACCTAGTTCTACAACTTTAAGCTTCTTCCCTGCCCCATTCAGAATATCAGATGTGACATCCCAACTGTTACTTTTTAAATTACAGACTGTGTCTGAGTAAACGTATAAGAACTGGTTTTGCACAGTATTTTAATAACACACGCATATTCATTTGAAGCATAAGAAAGTAACACTGGTATAAAAGGGGGTTGTCTCTTACATATACTAGAGCCTAGACATTTTTTTCCATGGCATTGAAGTGTGAGTAATCTACATGACGTGTTCTTCAAATACTAGAGAGCTCCCCAGAGGCCACCAGCACCAGTGAAAACCAGGGATCGCCGGTGGTATGATGTGGGAATTTTTAAGAACAACAGTGCTGTGGTGAGCCAGTTCTACTTGCTGCCAGAGGAAACACTGAACATCAATAGCAAGGTAGCTGCTGCTTCTCTGATATAACTTGCACATACCTATTTCAGAATTTGTTGCTTGAATAGTTCACAACAAAATACGGGATTTTCTAATACTGCAGCAGAATCTGGTGCTTGTAGGAGTTGTATTTTATGACCAGTAGTTCTTAATGTATTTTTCTCAACTTTTTTTACTATTTCCTAAACTAGATTAATTTATTTTGTTATTTATGCATGATAGTACAAAATATCTTATTTTGCTATTGCTGATTTTTTTTATTTCTTGCCTTAGAAAACAATTTTAAACTTATAAATTTTCAAGCCAGTAAAATTCTTAAAAACTAAAAACCCCACAATTTCTTAATATGTGATTTCAGTTCAGCATTGAAATGTTTAAGTTTCTTCTCTATTCCTAGAATCTTTGCATAAAAATTCTTAAAGGTACTAATAAGACATAGGCTTAGGCTGTTTAAAAAGAGTAGATCTGGAACTGTAGTGGCTTTTCTATTAGGTCTTTCTAATTTAATATTTGATAATTATAAGTGGATACATGAAAATGATGAGTGTGAAACTTGCAAAAGTGTAACAGTTTTGAAGGCAGAAGTGTAAAATAGTGATGTCCTCGTTAACTAGAAACAAAAATTGTGTCTTCGTGAGACAGAAACAAAATAACAGGAGCCTTCCTTTGCAAGCACTTCACTATAAATAGTCTTAGTTTTAAAGAGCACAATACATTGTACAGTGTTTACATTAATTCTATTTTCCTATAAAATAATGTTCTTTCACATTATTCTATAGGAAAATAGTTCCACTGTAAGGATCAGTGATGCATCAATGAATATTTTAATCATGGAAGGATGGTAGCACATAAAGTTTCAGAAAGTTGTTTGTTACTAACTTACTGTGCTTTTTCCTAAAACCGTTTTGATTACTTACACATTGTAGTGCAGCCCCTAATGTTAGGAATAACTGCTTTTAGGACACAAGATTGTTAACTAAATTGTAACTTATGTAGTTGTAAATGCTACTTTGTTTTAACTTTCCTGAGTAAAAATAACCACAAGGCATAGTTTAATTTCAATGACTGAAAAAATGGGATATCTTTTGGTCTAGACATGTAATATATTGCATATTACATCAGCTGTTTTGAGGTGAGATACTGTGTCATTCAAAACCTTTTCAAAAATTCTGATGTAAGTACAGCAGTATTAAATAGATTTTCAGTTTCAATTAAACTTTATTAATCTCAGCTTAACACTTTATACTTTTTTAGGCTAATTGTGTTTATAATATTTTAAAAATTACCACAAATGTTGCTTTATTTTCAGACGGAAGGTGCAAATGTACCCGACTACAGATTACTTAAGAAACAAGATCTGTTTCCAGGCACAGTGTATAGATTCAGAGTTGCTGCAATTAATGGCTGTGGTGTTGGGCCTTTCAGTAAAATCAGTGAATTCAAGACATGCATTCCAGGTTTTCCTGGAGCTCCTTCAACAGTCAAAATCACTAAGGTGAGAAATAGACATAATTCTGATTCTGGTTCTGATGTGTGAAATTCTGGTCACCGGTGTAATCTCAGAACTCTTGGTTATAGTTGGTTTTATTTTTAAGTCAAAATTGTCATATAAAATAGTGTCCAGTGCTTACTTGGTTAACTCTGCTCAATATAATATCCTTTAAGAATTTTTCTAAAAAGAATTCTTTTAAGAGTTAATGACAGTTTCCCCATGATTTTCTAGTCTTGCATCATTAAATCTATAGGGGTTTACCACACTTCATAAAAAAAGTCAAAAGACATCCTTATCTTTAGAGTGGTGATGATAGGTTAGAAATTTCAGATAATCTTTAGAATTTGGGGTTTTTTTTAATTGTTTATATATTTATGGTTAGCTACATACTATCAAATTTTTCTCTCTTTCTTCAGAGTGTAGACTGTATTCATCTTTCTTGGGAGCCTCCTTCTTCACCCTCTGGAAATATTTTAGAATATTCTGCCTACTTAGCCATCCGTTCCACACAATTACAGGAAAATCCAAGTCAGCTTGTATTTATGAGGATATACTGTGGTCTTAAAACCTCCTGCATAGTGACTGCTGCCCAGCTTTCCAATGCCCACGTGGATTACACCTCCCGGCCTGCCATAGTGTTCAGGATTTCAGCCAAGAATGAGAGAGGCTACGGCCCGGCCACGCAGGTTCGGTGGCTCCAAGGTAAAGTCACTGTCACACACAGCATTTGAGTGGAGCAGGAGCTGTGCATTTCTTCCAGAACCAGCACAGCACTGCATGTGAACTTCTTCAAATGTTGGTTTGTTCCTTGTGGGAGTTTTATGCAATTCTAGTTGTTGCTTCTGACTTCCCTAGAATTCACTTCAGCTCAGAAGTTTTTCAGTCTAATAAGAAGTAATCCAGTTATGTGCATCATGTAGATGACATACAGTGTAATCAGGGGTTTTTTCAGTCTTTTCACCCTCCTAAATAGAAAAAAAAAGAATCCGTCAGGTGATATAAGGTACATTTTTGTGATGCATATACGCTTTAAAATCTGTGTTACAACCAGAAGAGGTATTGTCATCTTGTCCCTAGGCTTGAATTTGTACAGGTTCATGATGGTTTGGGGATGGGAATGGGAATTGATCCACTGAAAATAAAATTAGTGTTAGCCTGATCAGTTCTGGCCTGTTTTATAAGTAAGCCAATCTGGGGTCTCAAGTTTTGCTAGCTTCTCATCCTGCTCCTTCCTGTTTCTGGCTTAGCTTTGTTGGGAGCTGACTTTGCTCAGCAAGAGGTGCTGTGGGCACAGAGGAAGATAGGAAGGGCAGAGTGGCCCCCCTTTGGGCAGCAGGGAACTGTGGGGGGGTAGCTGAGCTCAGCTGCTGGGCTGGGACCCAACTGTTGAATGCTCCACTGCTTGGGTTTCTAATATGTGCTTTTCTGAGATGGGGACTAACAATGAAGAAGTTGTCTTCTGTGATGTTCAGTATTTCAGTGCTGTTTTAACCCTTTATTTTTCAGGAGTTTGGACCACTATCTGTATCCTACAACTCTGAAATAGTGTTTGTTTGAAAATGTTTGAGTGTGTACACCATGTGAAATTATGAAACATTTAATAATGTCTCCTTTGTTTTGCAGATATGAAAACATCAGGCTCAAAGTAGAAACGACTTCATGAATCTCAAGTTTCGAATGTAGTGTTTAATGTAACTCTTGTACTATTTGTAAATGCTACAAATACTTTATTTTTGCATTGTTTTTATCTTGAAATATATAACCTTTTTTACATTTGACACATCGATGTTGTAGAGCCTTGCTCAGGTATGAGTATCATATAGAAAATATATCAGAGATGGTGGGGTGGAGGATCACTCTCTATCCAGCAGCTCTTTTTGGCAGTGATAAGTTAAAATGTAAAGAACACTGAGTTTCAAGTGAAAAATGAATAAAAGAATTGGCACAAGTAGTAGTATTTGAGGTAAAGTCCCCAGGACTGCTACAGATCTTGCATAGAGAATTCATAAGATTTGGGATATGAGCAAATTCTGTTTGGTTTCAGTTCCCTATACCACATTCTTCATTGCGGTGCCCGAGTACAAGGCAAAAATTTCCAGTTATTATAGAGTAACTTAAAATGTATAAATATTTTAATATATACTTTTTTGTAAAGAAATGATTTTTTCTACTATTTGTAACAAATATCTTAATCTTGAAGGATATCCCCTGAAAATTTAAAAGGAAAAAGATAAACTTAGCCATTGCTCTTATTACAAAAAACGTAAATTCATTGTAAATGCACTACTATTACATAAAATTATCCTTTTGTAGTTGTACAAATCTTAAACTTGTAAATACCAATGTTTACAAGAGACCTTTCTGGTCTTGTATTAAAACATCCATGAGATTCATTCTCCTTTTTTTTTTTTTTTAATCCATATGCTTTGCTTTTAGCATATGCTTGCTTTTTGCACTAATAATAACTTACCTCATTCCTGTGTTAGTAATCACTTGTGTTGCTTCCATAATGTTTCTGTAAAACTTCAATCTGAAAAATTTAACCAAAGTTTAGAATACATGGTAAGCAATTTTGCACATATTATATGGCAACTTTCAACATATTTATTTCAGTTAATCTTCTTAAGTGCTTGTTTGCTTTACCAATATATTCTACCAATCAAGTTCAATATCTCCCTTTTACTATGCATCATTTTACATTATCTAGCTAGCTGATAAAATCAACAAGCATTACTTCTAGGAATAGGTTGACTCATTCCTATGCGAAAAGATAAAAATTGTTCACGGTAGTGAAATAAAGGTAAACATTTTAAATGCTATTTATGTATCTATATATTAAACTATGTTTACCAAAGTATAGAGGAAAGTGGCTGAGTTGGACAAGGTTACTAGGTGAATAGATTGAGGCACCTAAATAAGATTTATTTTAAAATAATAAAATCTAAATTATTTACTGTGCAATGAAGTTTATACTTTGCACTTTAATTTTGCCCCAAATGCCAAAAGGTCATACATCAAGGTAGAATTTCTTGCCTCTTCCAGTAAAATTTGTTTTAAGAACATTTGTAAATATATAAACTAAAATCAATGATGTGCCTGGTTTGGTGGGAGAAGTATCACTAAAATAGTAGAGATTTAGCAGCTCAAGTCTCCCAGAGCAGATTTAACAGCCAAGTGTTGGCTACCCTGAGAATCGGGGTTATAACGAAGTGCTGGTACAGCCTTAATTATCGCAATGCATCACATGCTCCAATAGCATCTAGGAAGTGCTGGGGACCATAAATGGCTATAGTAGTGTTAACTGTGGCACAGGAGTAACACACGTTGTTTGACTCCAGAGAAGAATCATGTTTTTATGACAATGACAGATTATCCCAGTTTCACTTTAAACAGTGTTTATAGTATGAATGTATAGGATTTTTCCTGAAGTTAACTGGCTTTAAGATATTTGTGTTTTAATGGTCCATTTCATCAGGTAGGATCTCACTACCAATACTGTCTGATAACTAAAGTACCATACAAATGAACTGTCAACTAGAAGAATAGAACTTGTTTTTTGTTACTAGTACTGTGAAAGAAGCCTTTAGAGAAAACACTTGTGGCTTTGATTTTGTTGGTTGATAGCTGTGATTGTAGAGTTGTTATTTAAGAATAAAACCTGTTGGGTGTGTCTGGGTGGAGTTTTTTTGCACTTGGTTTCACATCCTTTGCACAATTTTTTTTCAGTGGGTGTGTCACGACTACCAAAGGGTAAAACTGTGGCGTTTTCAATGAAAGTATAATTTCCTTGTGACTGTGCTTTCTTCAGCTGACTTGACATAAGATGTCACTTTCTCTTTTTTGTCCAAGTCTGGTAACGTTGAATAGTGATCATATGCAACTCTTCAGTTGCTCACAGTTTTACTTTAAACTGAAATTGTGGTACACACTGTAAAATACACTTTTTGGTCTGTTTTTAGAACTGTATTTATAATGTCTAAATCCCACCTGTTTGCCTATCAACTAGATATCAGACAAATATTGATTGTTCAATTTTAAAGTTTAGAAGACTGTTGATACCAGCTCTTTGAGACTCCACATTATCCATTTATTTCAGATACTGCTAAAGGACATGTAACAGAAGCTGAAATCTAGCAGATTACTATATCCATATTGTAGGAATGTCTAGTTTTACTGAACTCCTTAGGGAGGTTGTGACTGTGTCAGCATAGCACAGTTGTGCCGGTTATGGGGGGCACTGCTACAGCTTCATCTTCAGAATGTTCTTGTGAAAGTGGAAATGAAGTGAACAATAACCTACACTTTGTGTTTTCAAAGTAATTATAGCAATATCTTTTGAATGTAGTTTGGAGTAGAGCACATGATCATGCCATAAACTCTGAAGATATATTTGTAAGTATTACTGTTGTTATCTGATTATTTCAGGATAGCGAATTTGACGTGAACTTAATCTTACAGCCTGTTACTTAATGACCTCTACAAGGAAACTGACATTTTGTACAATACAAGTTGAGTAGTCTTATTTTGAAGCATTGTTTGTTCTTTGTAATAAAGTGGTTGTCCTATCAAACACATTGTAAATACTGAAGTGTGTCTGTTTTCTCAGAGATGTATGTGTACAAACTTGGAATTTCTGATGCAGAGAGTAAGTAAATTTCTCAGACTGGGAAGAGGGTTTAATAATAAGCACTGTCATGATACTATTACTCTTTCATAAATATTGTCTCCTAAGTTAATTCTTGGTTACCTCATGAGCTTTTTCCGTAGTTGAGGTTCTCCAATATCCTTGCCCCACCTTCTGCCGTTGCTGTGCACTCACCATTACTCAGTCCCTTCCATGCCTTTGTGCCTTGCAGGCTGTGGCTTCTGAACTGAAATTTTGACGTTATTTCCTCTGTCTATACAGGAGTCACGTTGCTGTTGCTGACAATGAGTGACAAAGAGTTTGGTGTTGCTTTGTTGCAGTTTAAAAAGATGTGTGAGCACAAAGTCTGTTCAGAACGCTCCTACGAAGGATTTGAATTGTGTTCATGTCCAGCTCTGCTCAAAATGACACCATCTTTTATGGCAGCTGACTGTAGGGAACTCTTGTGGGAATAAGCAGTACATGGTGCAAGAAGTAGGGGAGCAGAGGAGCAAGTGAACTGAAAGGTCTACTGGATTGTTTCTAGACCTCCTTAAGAGACTTCACAGGAGAAACTGCTAAAAGCTGTCTGCTCCAGATTGATTCCTTCTTTGTGTTCCTAACTATTGTCTTTGTTTGTAATGCTTGCATTAGTGGAAAACAAATGGGAAGGCCTAAAACATCAGTGAAGAATCCTCTCTTGCTGTTTTCTTCCTGTTAATAAGATTTTAAGAGTAGGAGTTATTTTCTATTGAAAGCAAATTTGAATTTGCTGTATTAATTTGTCTTAAAAACAACTCAGATTTTTTTTTCTTTGTAGCATTAGCTGGTCCCTAGGGTATTTTTATAACGTTTCTAGTGAGCTAAACATCAGGGCTTTTATTCTGTGGCTTCCAGTTCTGACACTGAAGGACTTCCAGATTCCCAGGACAGGGGTAGAGCACTGACTGCTGGCACTGTCTGGGCAATGTGTTCCTCCTTATGTTAACAGTAGTGAAATCTTCATTTTGAGGTGTTTGCCACTGATCTGGAAGTAGAGATCCTTTTTATTAGAATTTCAATAATTCAGCGTAAAGTTATCAGGAAGATGAGCTTAAAATAATTCCTCTTAATCCATAGAGTGTTTAGGATACTGCACCTCCAGCACTTCCCCCAGAGAGAGGAAATGCCCATGATGTGGGGCAGGTGGGGGTAGGGTGGGCACCCAGCTGGATCCCAGCATGACTGAGTGGTGGTGGGGCTCAGCCAGAGAATGTCTAGCATCTGCAGCCCCTGGAAGGGGAGTTAGGATGGCAGGGAGGCCCAAGAGATCTCCTTATATCTGCCTCATGCTAGGTGGTGAAAATCTGGCATCTGTAAATGTGGTCAGTTTTAACTGGGTCTGTTCCCTACATCCTTCAAAAGCCTAAAGTACTTAATGTGTTTGTTTGGTTTACAGTCCTGACAGGAACAACAAAAATATCTCTCAGATTTGGATTGGTCCTAGTTTGCTGTCATTCGTTGTTTTGGTTTTTTTGGGTCTTTTTTTTTTTTGGTTTTTGGGGGTTTTGGTTGGTTGGTTGGTTGGTTGGGGGTGGGGGTTGTTTGGTTTTTTGGGTTTTTTTGTATGGTTTTTTTGTTTGTTTTGGTTTGGTTTGATTTTTGGGGTTTTTTTTTGAGGGGATTCTTGCCTCTAACAAGCATCTGCTTTTAATATGTGATGTAATTGGTAAGTTGGTACAGCAGCTCCTTAAAATGAGAACTTAGGCTTGGATGTGGTATCTTCGAAGAGAAGGAGATGAAGCATTTCAGTGTGTCCTAGTGTTCAGAGAGTTATTTCAGTATCTGTTGAAATTATAAAATACTGTTATCCACACATGGAAGTTATCAATGTACAGTTATTTCAAAGCAATTCTTAAAAGAGGCACACTGGCTATATGCCATTTTAGAAGGTTCAATACCTTCTAGAAAGTCCAAAATGTTGGTTTCATTTGCATCCTCTTGTTTTTTGTTTTGTTTCCATTCACTCTTTTAAATGTTTAACTGCCTTTTAGAGTAACCATCACTCTTGCATGCAGTGCTGGTAAGTCTCTTTTAACAAAAAGTTATTAGTACAAGCAGTTATCTTGTAACTTTGAGCAGTATTAACAAATATCCCACTCTTCTTTTTAGCAGCAGTTTCCTAGTTATTTCCTCATTGTATTTTGCCTGAGTAGGAAAGAGACTTTATATGTTAATTTTAAATGCTGCCTGCTCCAGAAGGAAAGCGTTTAGTCTGGGAGCAACTCTTTGGAATTACTGTCTTGAAAAAGAAAACCTGAAATATCAATCTAACAGCTTGAGATTTCAGCTACGTACATTTCAGCCATCTGAAGCAACATGAGAGCTGTCAAGCCAGACAACATAAAATGGCCAGTTTTTGTCAATATTTCTTCTTGTGTGTACAGAACTTGATCCCACTGCATCTACTCCAGAAACATTTTGGATGAGTTTCAGCTGCTTGGCTTGTAAAACGTGGCTGTTGCTTATGGTTTTGGATAGAGTGAGAGCAGACTCATCCTCTGCTGCAGCCCTCCCCAGGCTCCACAGTCTCCACGTTCTCATCCCAGAGGGCTGGAGCCTGTTTCTTTGTAGCAGAAATGCTCTCCAGCTGGCTGGAGGTGAGATTTCAGATCCTTCCCCTTCTCCCTCAGTGCTTAGCTTTTCCTGTCAGCTGGGTCCTGGCATCTGCCTGTTCACCAGGTTGCTTTTCCCAGGATGTTACACTGCACAGGGAGTTCAGGTGTCTGGTGGGTTTGGATTTCCTGGCTGGGGCCAAGGAGGAGTTGAACAGTGCAGAAACAAACTTGTGTATCCCAGTATCCTTTATCTGCGTCATGCTGCTCTTGACAGTGCTGGGACATGGGCTCTGCTGGACTGTCTTCCCCAGGGTGCAGAGAGTAGGAATAGCATATACTGTTGCAAATGTTTTAGCTGCAGCTGCATTTCGAGTGACACGGCCCTTGCACATGAACTGAGTCTTGGTTGTGCTGCTGGAGGTGGTTTTATTTGCTGTTCATGTTGCTGTACAGGCTGGGTAAGCGTCAGGCACACACACATTAAATTAACAGCCCAAAGGCTGCTCCTCTGCCCAGCAGATTTAAACCTTCAATAGTTTTCTTTCACACATAAGCAAATCAGGTGCCATTGCTCTGATAAATGGGCCCTCTGGCCTGGTATACTGCAGTAAAATATTCCAGGAAATGAGCCTGGAACTTTGCCTGGAAGATTTCTTAAAGCAGGCTAGCTGACTCCCTCAGACCTGCTGTGCACTGCATCACTCTGGCCCTGCCTCCACAGCCATCCTTGGGGACTTGGATTTAATAAACTCAGTGCAGCTGGCACCAATTTGGAGACTATTGTGCATAGCAGCAAACTGCCCTCCCTCCCAAGAGCACATGGCCTTGAATGTCACTGCAAGCTGAACTGGCAGTTTCCAGGGAGCTTCCCATTAAACTTTTACATCTGAGGGTCAGAAGTAACATTGCAGTCCATTACCATGCCAATTTCACAAATCAATAGGTAAACAGATCAATATTTGGTTGCTTAAATGTATTTTTCAGCCTTTGAAAGGGTGAAAGTGTGAATTATTTTGCCACAACAGCATATCTGATTTTCAAAGAAGAAAAATTGGTTGATGTTTTCAACTAGGTCCATGTCTTACTGTGTACCACATGCAAAAGGCGCCCTCCCACCACTGCTCTTTTCACCAAACCAGTGCAACAGGGGAAAAATAAGAGGAACCATTAGAGTTAACATTATCAAACGTCTTTCTATAGGACTGCATATATAGTTTCCTTATAGCATTACTTGTCTTAGAATCTACATCCAGCTTTGGAGGTTTTTTCATCTACAGACACAAAATTCACACCTAGTTTCAGTGAAAAACTTCCTTTCTTCTATTTGGTACAAATCAAACCCCAAAACCATCAAGCCTGCACCATTTGGTAATGCAGTGACTTAAAGGCAAGTTGTCTTACTGCTGTAAATATAACTGAGGCAGCGAATCTCCGTGATTTAACTGGACCATTAATCACACACAGAGCTCTGCAAAATAAGGAATATTATAGCTATAAGCAAAGCTGCTGCCAGGCCTTATCATGACAGCAAGGTGCTGGGGAAAAGACTAGCTCTTGGCTCTGCCCCTTGCTCTGCACTCAGCAATCTCTTCTGTGTGTGCAGTTGCCCGTATGCTTCCTCTCCTCCCAAAGGCTAGACAGAAATCAACTCTCCATGCCTACAACATGTTCATGAGCATCACCCTCAAATTCTGCAACAGGAATCATTCCACAGCATTCAGAGTGATCCAGAGTGCAGCTCAAGGAAGACAGCTCTTGAAAGAACAGCCCATAGAATTCAGGCTGATTTTTAGCTACAGTCAGACAAGCATGGGGCAGTAGGTGTTTAGGACATACCACCTCACACCAGAACTCCATCTGTGTTCTGGCTACACCATACAGCCACATATTTTAGCATTCAGTAGAGATCAGAAGGGAGGAATAAATAAAATAGCTAACAATGCATATGTACATCAACAAGGCTGGGAAAGGCAGAGCCTCAGTTCCCATTTTGCCTGTAATGAAAATGGGATGTAGAAGAACACCATCTAAATTAGCTTTTCTCATAATTGCATTTGGACTAGAGATAACAGCAATTCTGTGCTTATAAAGACACCAAAAGCACCCTATAAAGAAATACCAGAAGGATCAAGTTACACAAAAATGCATTTTTCAAAAAATTGCTGTGGTAAAACTTGCTTGTGTTGTGAAAAGGCACCTAAAAAAAAATCACTCTTCTTGGAAAAAGATCTTTGAACATGACTGCTTTTCCAAGTCTTAACATACGCTGCCACAGCTGCCTCAAACTCAAGCTCAGTTTGGGGGTACCTTAGTTCAAAAAAAAAACATTCAGAAGACCAAAGACAGGAATTTTGTAGAAGCAGATGAGATGTAGCAAGAATGGTCATTCTTGGTTCAGGTTTTAGCTACTTGTAAACACCCAAACAGAGCAAAATGAGAACACAGATTTGTTGAACAAATATAAAGAATGCACTGGTTGTGCTGCTACTAATAAAATTAGGCAAGTATTTCTTCAGACCACATTTTTTTTTATTTGGTGTACCATGGCTACAGTACCCTGCAAACTTTTATTAGGAGAAAGGTTTCAGAGAGACATGGAACAAAGTGTTGTACTATTACTTTTACTGCTGTAGTTTCAGGAAGAGAATGAGAAGTTATGCAGTTTTGTCCCTGGCCCTCAGAGGGTGAGGGGAGAAGAAAGAAAAAGGAAAAACTAAATATCAGCTTCATTGCTCACATGATGGAGTATAAACCACAAACTTAACACACTTTTAACCTAAACTCACAGCAGAGAGGGGAGCCTGAAAACTTTTGCCTGTTTCAAGCAAGTGTGTGGGATCACCTGAACCTGCTTTCTATACATCAAAATGCCAAATCTTTCCTAGCTTCTCCTTAGTTGGTATCACAGCTTTTTTCCATTGCAAATCTGGGAACAGCAAGAACAGGCTACGCTGGCCTGAAATAAATGGAATACAAACAGAAGGGGCTCTTGTAGGGATTGTGTTATTCAGTTTTACATTTAATGAGAAACTCCATTTATTCATAGCTGCTAAACGACAGGCTGCCACAAAGCCCAGAACATCCATGCAGACTGCCCAGAACACACTGGATCGCCTCCAGAGGCTCTGCCAGCAGGATGCTGACTGGTAGGAAACACTGCTCAAATCTGCATATGAAGTTTTTGTTTAGCTAAAGAGCTGGGATATCTTAGGTTATGCTGATTTCCCAATATTGAACTGTTACTTTTCATTCTTTTTTTTTTTTTAAGGAAAGACAAAACAAGCAAGAAATCATATTTCAATCAAGTTTCAAAGTGTGGTTTGCTTAAATTAATAACAGCTATGTGGAAAGATAATTAATATATTACATTTCAGTCCACTGAAAATAGTAAAAATACGGAAGGTCCCAAAATCCAGTCTGAGTAAGATATTACTAAAACCCCCACCCCATCCTAATAGGCTAAGACTTGGCACCAAAATTACCCACCCAATTATTAAAGAAACAGCAATGTTACCAAGAACAGCTCACTAAATATACAGAACTACATTACCTAGGTAGAATTTATTGCAAAACCAGGGAAGAGACAGCAAACCTGAAGTCTGTCTTCCATTTCAGATTTGTATCACTTGTTCAGCTGTCAGCCACTCATGCACATACACACCCACACAACACGCAGCCCAGACACAAAGTCACTACCACTTTTGAGTTCCCACAGGCTCACAAGAAACGTTAAAACATTTCAGTAAAAAGTTAAAATGAGATCTTTTACCACAAGGACTATAAAATTCCCCTACCCTTGGGTTTCTAAGCTTGGGATTCTAAAAGCCATACATAAAAAGGAGGAGTTATTTCAATAGCAGAAAGACTACCTTAAAAGTATCAAAGTAAGTCTAAGGAGAGAGTTAATGCAACTGAAAAAAATTTAAAAAAAGAAAACCTGCATCTCACAGTCAGTGCTTTCATTAACACTGTTGATAAGCTCTAAACCTCCAAATGTAGTAGAGCATTCATTGGTTTTGATTAACCTTAAATTCAGAAGTTACATTAGAAAAAACAATTGTAGCAATTCTTTTGAGCTGCTAGTTTCATGAGGAAAAAGTCCCTTTCAAAATCTCAATAAATAAGCTGACATGTCAAGTTAGTTGAAGTTGTCATGCAAGACAAGTTACAAAATCAAGACTAACTCAATCTTTATAATAAAGGCAACTTGCATTCAAAAATGAACTTTACCCTTACAATTTTATTCAAAGGGTAAACATGAATTAACCCAGCTGTTTACCTGAATTACAAAAGTAACATGATTCAATATGAAAATAAGAAACTGTCTACAAATCTCTGACAGTAATAAATTGCAATATACAATGCATACAGGAGTTATACAGAGCAACAAACTCTTGTACAAAACAAAAATACTTTAATACCTTTAAAATCCAATTATTTCTTTAAAATCATCATGAAAAAGATTTGAGTCAGAACTCACACCTCAATTAGTCAAGCTTCTGGTAGCTACATTACAGCTATTTAATATACAAAGAGATAAATCTCTTCACCAGTCATTAAAACTGCCTCTTCGTTAGAGTTGTACTGGTTTTCTGTGTCGTGTTCCCAGATGGAAAGTTTTCTTCAAAATCATGAGAACTGAATTTGTTGAACACCAGAGATCTAGAGAAAGAAAATGCAAGCTTACATTCCACTGCACATTTTCTGAAGCTGCAGAGCAGTTCACAGCAAAGCAGCCATGAATTCTCAGTGTTGGAATGGCATGATAGCCACCACCAAAGAACCAAATACAATTAATTCTCAAATTTCAGAACAGAGCAGCTGAACTATTGTTTGGATTTTAGCAGCAGAAGGGAGAGTAGAGGACAAGATACAGGATCATACCTGTTGATATGATGTTGTGTAGACCATAACATTCTGCTGTTGGCCATCTGTGGTTATTAAGCCTGCTGGCAACTGGTTAGCTGAAAGAAAGAGCATTTTAAAAACATTAGGCAGGAACTGCTTGATATACAGAGCCTTGTTTGATGTGTCTTGTCACCTTTAAATAACTATGATCCACTCCAGGACTACAGAGCCATTAATCTCCTGAGTTACTACCCTACACTGGTATAGTCACACTTGTTACCAAGTGTTATAAGTGAACAAGTTTATTCCCATTCAGAAAAAACACAAAAAATCCAACTTGATTTTGCTCTGAGGCTAAGCAGAATGTCGAAACCTGCACACAGGCAAATGGAGTGGAGCTCACCACCCTGACCACTGAAAAGGCCATCTCCAGTGCTCAGTACCCCAACAAGCCTGGAGAATTCAGTTAGTTTAAACACAAAGTTAGCACTTGAGCATAGCCATGGGGGAGGAACTCAATTAAATCATTGTACTGCTTTATAAACTGGGATCCATCAGGGACTCCATAATATGGAAGTCTCATGGAAGGCAAAAGAGAACAATAGGAACAGACAATGACAAAAAATAAAAGGCACTGCTAGAGCCTGACATTGTACTGGTCAACTTCAGCACCTCCTTCAGGGCACACAGAAGAGTCTGATTTCACAGAGGAAAGGGGAGGCCAACAAAAGGAGTAAAAAGTACTTCTGAGATACCGAGAGGAAACACAGGGAGTGATGCTCCAAGGCAGACCTTCACAACATGTAATTGGAGCTCTCACACTCAGAGTAGGTGCCTTACAACTGCTATTTGAAAGCAAAGCAGCACAACTCTCATACTGTAGGTTGTCACTGTAGCACATTTCCCGGTAGGACACAAATAATGAGGCTTTGTTCATGTAGTTACTAAATATAAACAAGATGTATAACCAATACAAATTCTGAAAGCACAGCATAATCCTAACAGTTTTCATTTGAAAGCTGATGCTTGAGGGTTTTGTAATTAGATTTTTGGTTGGTTATTTGAGGTTGTTATTATTTGTTTTCCTTCCTCCTTCATTGAACAAATTTTCAATTGCTTCAGTTGCAGGCTAAGAGAAGCATTAAGATTAGTGAGAGTGGCTCTGGCAGGTCCAAAATTTACTGCCCTTCAAAGTGCACGTTCCACATCCAACACAGCTTAATGGACAGTCCCTGACCCAGCCCTGGCATGAGGCCACCACAAAGAGCTGGGGGTTATGCCACAGAAGCACAGCTATCACTGCTACTGCTGCAGTGACACCATCACTCATTCCAGACAGAGTGATAGCTGGCCCTGTGGAGGGAAATACCTGCAGCACTTGACATGATCAATTATTTAACCCTATTTTTTACTTTGCTTTAATACTGCAACATCTCCTTTGCACCCTTAATCCTGTGAGGACATTTCTAAAGTTGCTCTTTTCAAATGACAGCAACCTAAGTTTTTTCAAAGAGCACTCTGAGGCTCCAAGGTCTGGAAATTAAGAATCTAAATCTAAATATTACAAGGGACCCTTGCAATATTTAGATATAGATTCTTAATTTCCAGACAGTTTTAAAACTCTTCTTCCAGGCTAGAAGAGACCCAAGAAGACTGCATTGTTTTATGCAGCAAAAGTCAAACTGAGAACAAAGTGTATTTCCAATCCTGAATAGCTCATTTTAGTCCTCAGGCTTTGAATTTGTGCTAGTTTGGTGGTCTACCAGTGATTTTATCATGTACTTAAAAAACTAAATCTTGTCAGGAGATAAGACTAGAGCTGTGCTTCCCAATTCCTCTTCTATCAGGTTCAACATTAGCAGCCCGTAACACTTAAAAGCCAAGGTGGAGACTACATGCAAGAATCAGCACCAACAAAATCAGTGTAAATCCCAAAAAACTAAGGCTTTAATCTACAGTAAAAGGAAGAAAAACTATGCTGAATGCACATGATACTCCTCACCCTACACCTTCGAGCTGCCAATCAGTGCATTCTTTTGAATGTAAGATACATTAAATTCTTTAGAATTAGACAAAGATGGTTTTCTTCTCTACCTCATTTCTCAAAGATGAGCTCCTCAAGTCACCAAGAGGAGTTCATTTTACTTTTTTCCCCCCAAGAGTCTTGCAAGTAGAATGGGTGGGGCCTAAATATGTAGCTACTGGGGAAAAAGAAAAAAAAAGGTTTGCACCTTTCATTACAACCTGTGTTTAAGTGTATACAAGCACTAATATATGCATTTACGAATTTCCCACAGTTGACATGAGCTATAATTAGTCCAGGATATATTCCTCAAGTAAGAATGCTGATGCCTGACAGAAGTGCTTTATTTATAAAAGCTGTAGTAATAACATGATAAATTAAAAAGTATTACTCACTAAATGCTTCTTCTGTGAGCTCCTCACTTAGACCATCTGCAGTTGTAACTGTTCCCCCAATTCCCTTTTCTCCTTTCATTGCCTAAGAAGAGAGAGCAAAAAAAAAAGCTTGAGATTTTTTTCAAGTCCCAGGAGCTCTAGCCAAGGTTTGAAACTTGCAGAAGAGTTACAGTGCAACAGCTGGAGCTTGAAATCCCATGAACTGTTAAAACTCTAAGGGATTTGAGAATGTGCATATTACATGAGTGTTTTTTATTTTAGCCATATTCCTGAAACAAAAAACTTGGCAAAGTAGGACTGTATGGTTCTAAGAAAGGCTTTTCACCCTCTGCAGAAAGTTCAAAATCTATGGTAATCCAGAAGGAGAATTTACAAGAAATCACAGAATCTCACCTACCAAGAATGTGCAACATTTGCTTACCAACCACACACAAGCAGCATCACCATAAACTAAGAGCTGGCATTTAAAACCAAGATGTGGAATTTCTTTTCATCAAGGACTACAGCCAGAAAGGATATCAGCATAGAAAGCCAAGGCCCCAGTCATCTGCATGCAGTTTTACAAGTTTGAAGTTTGATGCTCTATGCTATTACATAAGAACATCTAGAAAAATAATGTGGGCATAAAAAAAGATTCTCTGCAACTGCTTGCTGCAGACAAAATACTCAGTTAGAAAACTGAAGTATTTCACCCTGAAGACACCCTTGCTGGAATGGAGATTTAAAACTGATGAGCAAAGCTGTTTAACCCATCCATGCAATTAAAATCCAATCCAACTACTCTGCTACCACAGCATCTATAATCTGCAAAAATGGTCAATTAAGAATGAAAGTATCACAGACCCACTTCAGACTTATTCAGTAGGAACTGGAACTAGTTAGGCAATACTTGCCTTTTTAAAAGCCCTATCACAGCATGTGCAACTGCTACACAAAACTGGAAAAAGCACACAGCTCTACTCCAACTTTACATTACACCTCCTGTTACTCAGTTATCCAGCAAATGACCTTCTGGGAAGAGGAAGCTTCAAGTGCTGTCAGCAAAACAAATATTGTTAGCAAGTCTGAACTAAAAAAATCTTAGGTTTACAAAACAAAGAAACTCAGAAGAACATCCTTATCTACTGTTCTGCCAATTTAGACAAGGGAAGGCAGACCAGAACAAAAAACCCAAGGAGAAGCAACTTCCTTTTTTTAATAGGTCTAAATTGTTGAAAGGAAGAAAGTCACTTTCTGCTAGAGAAGGGTTAAATTAAATTAACTGATTTGAATCACATACCTAGCATGAACTATATATCAAAAGCAAATCGAGGGACAGGCTAAAATAATAATTTAAAAAACCCCACTGAAGCAATGGCTTTCCATGTGAATCATTATTCCAACATGAGAAAAACAGTTTTTTTTCTTGTGCAGACCTGAAGTCCAGACAAACAATAGGCATGAGGCCAGTTCCTCAGAGGATGCAGTCAGTACATACTGACTGAGCCCAAAGATCCAATTAAACATTCGTAATATGAACCTTAAAGAGCAGAGCAATTTACTACCACATATATTAGAGAATTTATTCAGTTGAAAGCTTTAACTACTCTGAATAAGCAAGTCTAATCAAAATGCTTACTTCCTCCTTTTTCTCTTGACATTCTCTAGAATACTTTTAAACATTATTTTACTCCCTGACCAAGAGCTGTGAGATACTGTGAAAGTTAGCCATTATAGTTACAACAACAGAGAGCTAAGGATAAACACCAGCAGATTAAATAAATGAGCAAATAACCATATACACCAACCTCTCTGAATTTTTGGAGGTATAACTTCAAAGGTTCAACATAGCTATCAAACCCCAAGGTAGACATGGCAAAGAGAATATCCTCTCCATTGATGGTCTTTCTTTTTTCTTGGTGACACCTCTCACTTGCTTCTGATGTTATAAAGCTGATGAATTCACTTACACACTCTTGTACACATTCTTTTGCATCCTTAGCGATCTAGTAAGGAAATAAGTATCATAAAATCATTAATGAATACACAAGACTTGAAAAAACTCACCACAAACCCCCCAAAGAGTAGAACAGATAATAGAGGAAACATCCCAAAACCCATTTAGGCAACACAAACCCCCCAAAGAGTAGAACAGATAATAGAGGAAACATCCCAAAACCCAATGGTAACACCTGCACAGCAAACCACTGGATGGCCTCACTCCTCTACGCAAGACCAGCTGCAATGTGATTTTACCCAGGTTTTACTATTTCAAGCAGCTCAGCCAACTGCCAGGATCTTCTGAAGTCCTAATTTCTATACAGGCTTTCACACACAGATGCTTCTTGCTTTGCTTACCTATGTTTCTTCAAACTTGTTCATTACAATGTCACAGCCCATTTCCTCTTCTTTTTAAGAGACCTTTTTAAGAAACCCTACCCCATCACATTCCAACAAATTCAGCACTGACAAGTATTTTTATCCTGCCTAGATTCAAGGACCAGAATATACACCTAGCAGTAAGCCTTTCTAATGCTTTAGTATTCTGGTATAAATATACCACATGAGAATTCAAATGAAGCAACATATGCCCCTGGCAAGAATGAAGTAAGTAAATTTGATTACAGTTTTCAGCTGGACAAAAGTCATTTACCTGACTTAAAATTACAGCAAGTATTATTCATGATTACTTGGGAAGCTGACAGAAGTCAACAAGAAGATAATAATACTTAAGATTCTTATTCTTCACATGAAAAGAACCTGAAAAATTGAAGCAGTCACTGTGTGCAGAGTCTTCACTAGCTCCTCTGATATTTTCAGACACGTAGGGTGAGATTTTCAGAAGTCATCAGTCAGCAGCTTCCCTCGCAGTTTTTTACAAAAAAATCATCCTGATCTTTCAAGATAGCTCCACATCCCATATGCTAAATTCTCAAGAAAAATCTCATCTTGATCACTAAACATTTATGACAATATGGACTAGGGTACAGTTTTTCACAGCAAAGTTATAAATGTAACATCCAGATCTCCAGAAAGCCCTGAACACTATGAAAATACAAGCAGATGCGAGTAAATTATGTCTTGCTTCTATTTAGAGTGATCTCCAAAAAGAGAGATCAATTTTAGCTGGAGGAAATGTTACTGTGGCTGGAATTGTATTGGAATGCAATAGAGAAACAGCAAATCATAGGAGCCCTGCAAAGGTTTAAGATAAACCGCTAGAATGATGAAGTACTTATACAATCACCAGCTCAGCAGAATGGATTAAAAAGTCTATTCTTAGAAGTAAGAAATAAATAAGGCTTTCAATATCTGGCCTTATCTGCTCCACGATATAAAGCAGACTTCTTAGGTCACTTTGGCATTTGGGTATGTTAATATTCAGGTGATGGAAGGCTAACCATTCTCTCTCCTTCGGGATGAGTACTGAATTTCTATTTCAGCCACTTATATTATTCACTTACTCCAAATTTTATGCACCTCAATGAAAGCAGACTAAATCTCTCAAGAGAATTGCATAGAAAATATTCTTAGTGATTATCATCAAGTCTGATCCTTTATGACAATTTCAGAGAACACATCTGAAGATACGATAAGCTTTGAGAAATCTAAGAAAAATTGGCTTGGTCTCAATCACCTCCTGCTCCTGGGGCTTTTTTCCCTTTCATTTTATAACGCTTTTCTTCAATAAACCAGCATTATTTGGAAAAATATCTTGTTCTAATCAGCTCAAGTTCACTGAGAGGAAGGAATAAAACTCATTAACACACTTTCTTTACCAGACAACAGTATTACCTTTCCTGTTTGGGGTATGGCATTTTTCATTATCCTTGCCACATTTGCAATTGGAAGATATATATCTTGTTCTCTGAAACTCTCCTTTGAGCCGTTAGTATCTTCATGATCATTCATGCTGTCTTCTGTGTCTAATGAAATGAAGAAAAGTTAACAGAAATTGTATTTGATAGACAGCAGGCAATAATTCAGTTTAAAGTCTTATATTGAAGGATGAAGACCTTTGAAAGCACAGTGTTTTAACATCATAGAAATAATTTTTAAAATATATGCAATATCAGGATACCTTTATAAAGATAGCATTTTATCACATTATGCACAGAAGTGTACATGGCTGCTGATCAACAACCATTATTAATGCCACGTCAAAATACAAACTGCTTCCTATAAGGTCAATTTTTTTGTTATCCCCTCAAGGTCTCTGTGCCAACATCAAGAAATCCAACCTCCCGCCTTCAGACTGCAGAAAATGCTTTATACAGTGAGGCATTACAAAAACAATGGCAAATTCTTAGCCTGAGAGAAGATAGCAGAGAATGATACAAGTACTGGAAGAAATATATGTATACACACGTTCACAGAGAAATAGTAGCATTTACTCTCTCACTTCTTACCATCGTGAGGCTGTATGACATAGTGACTGCCACCAATGTAATCTCCAGCAATTCCTAACTGAGAAGCATCTGTTGTGGAGCTGTCACCATCCATCTACAACCAGAAGAAGGAAACCTTTCAGGTGTGATTGTTACATCACTAAGTGCAGCTATTACTCAAACCCAGCACAAACGACACGATCCCTTTATACAAAGCATAAATATTTTGCTATTGGAGAACAGTATCCCCACTGTCATTAAGGAGTTTTACTGACAGTGGAAATAGTTCAACTGTTTTATGAGGATTTTCAAAAAACTCAGCCAGAGGCACAGGCTATGCACAGAATCATTTGGTTTATCTAGCACATAGCTCCCATGAAAGTCTAACCAGAACATGTAAGGTGTCTCTGACCAATCCTCAAAATCTACAGCCCCCTGTTCTCTGAATGCTTTACCTATTAGTTCCTACACAGAATGCATCCTTCACTCACCTTTACACTCCATGTTGGTTTGTCAAGCCCACTGACAAACTTCTAGCCAGACCATGGGACCAGCTCTGCACCCTCATCCTCCCCGAGACATCAGTTACTCCTGTGTGCTTTCTGAGTCACATTCTAGCATTACCTGGTCCTGCCCTGCCTCACTCTTTGGGCATCCTTACGTGCTCTTCTTTAAAGGTTCTGATGTGGTGGCCAACAAGAAGACTTCTTCATGAGGGTTTGGAGATGGGGGTGGTCACAGTTTAATAGGTAACTTAAATGCCAAGAGAAAAAGGGAAGCCAAAAGAGCTTGTGCTTCCCTCCTTCCTACTGACAAGCTACACACACGGCCCCTGGCGAGGCAGAGCCCAGCTGACTTCACTCACTGACCCCACACCCACTGTGTGGGTACCTTGGTGTCTTTGAAGGATCACATGGTTGTTGTCAGTGAGACCACAGATCTGACTTTTTCGCACACCCAGGAAGAGGGAGAGAAAGGGGGAGAGAGAGAGAGAGAGACAAAGAGAGAGAGAGAGAAAGAGAGAGGCCATGTTATCTTTACACCTACCCAGAAATATGAGTATTTAACCTCCCACTAATCTGTACTTTGCTTGTGGCCACAGATGCACAAACAAGACGAGTGCTGTTCACATTCCAACAACAGCTGGACGGAGCCTTAGGAGCTGTTCAAGAGAAAAAGACTATTCCAGCTCTTCTTCATTGCGCAGAATATTACACACACTTTTATAAAGAATTTCAGGTCCCTTTTGCTGGGCTTTTGTAAACCAGCTTCACTTCCTTCACAGCAGCTCTACCCAAAAGAAGGGCAGTATTTTAGGCATTAACCTTCTGTGTGGCAACCTTCACATAAACTCACTTTGTCCACATTTTGCAGATTCTTTGTTGGGAGATTTAACTTTGCTTTTCAATCTCCCAAAGGGTCTGCAGTTTCCTTACTCAGCTTACTGTAATGACAATGCAAGGATATCACAATCCTGCATGCCATGATCACCCGAACTGACATCACACATCATTAAGAGAATTGTGCCTCTCTCTCCCTTCTGCACTCTGAAACAATTAAAATTGTAGTCTGGTAAATCCCAAAAGCTACTTCCAAAATTAAGTTAGAGTTTTCTGGTAGTCTTCTTCTCAGTTCTGGCTCTCTGATCCCTGCTGGAATTTAATTCAGGATCTCAATCTTTACCAGCCCCAGTACAAGGTATTTTAAACACCTTGATCTTTCTTTCCCTCTTTTTTTTTTTTAATCTTCTGTGAAACATTTCTTATAAATTATTTCCTTCCTCCAGGGTTGCAATATTCTTCAAATTTCTGCCATGATGTGATAACTAACTGGTTTCTGCTCACCTCTCCTGCAGGCTACTCCATCTGAATCTTTATTGCCAAGACCTAGCAATAAATAAAAAAATCACCTTGCTTTCATTAGCCCACTTGCCTTCAAAAGATAACAAGAGCTTGAATCTCTTTCAAACCTCTGCTGCATCTACAGACATTTTGGTCATATTAGACTAATGCATCCTCAAGGTAGTACCTTTGTTTCTATTTTTTTCAGTGTGCACATTTCCAGATCTACTTACAGGATGTATTATTTCACCATTAATGGGAATTTGTGTGGACATTTATCAGCACTATGAATCTAAAATAGCGATTAGCAAAATTGACAGGAAAAGGCTTGCAACAAAAAACCAAAGGTCTGACTCAGATAAGGAAAACAGGCACTGACAGCTTAACATCAACTGAAATTACTTCTGTCAGTATTACTTGAAGAAAGATTTTTAGCTGCCAGGACAACCCTGGGACAGGAGATTAGGGACAGCACTAACACCCTTCTGCATAATGCTCAGCATAACCAGGTCCTGATCCAGGCCCACAGGGTAATTCATGTTGGAAGTGACTGTGGGAGGTCTCTACTCCAGCCCCTGCTAAAAGCAGGGCAGCTCTGAGCTCAGAGCACTCAGGGTTTTCTCCAGCCACATCCTGAAGGCCACCACAGACAGAGCTGGCCCCACGAGCCTTTTCCACAGCCCGGCTGACCATGCCATGAGGGAGGGAGGGGATCTCAGCACACTACTTCAATTAAAGTAAGTTGATGGAAGAACTTCAGCCAGAGTTGTCATTCAATTCAAATCTAGATCCAGGCATCTGAATATAGCAACTGTAATTAATATGCCATCCAAGTCACCCTACTAGTATTTCTTTGAGCCCGATGGATGGCAAACATGACCTTGCAAGAAAATGTGACCACTGCTATCCCAGTCATCTCATAACAAACAGTTACATGCTCACACATTACAGTTTTCATTTCAGATGTTCAAAACTCCAGTCAATCACCACATTACCTGATTGTTATATGTGTTACAGAACTTATGCTGAGCTTGACAATGTTCAGAAAATGAGAAAGCACTCTTCTCACTACACTGTTGCTAATTAATCTCTCTCCTTTAAACAAACAAACACCCCAAAAAACCAATAAAACCCCTCCAAAACCATGACACAAACTAAATTCTGTGTCCATGAAGTTGCCCTGGAAAAGGCAATAGTCCAATATAGCACAGAAACACCACCTCGCATACACTAACTGCAGTCACTGAGAGACTTAAAGGCCAACAGTTCTTATATTGGCCCATTCAGTAGGAAGACCTACTACTTTAGATGGAAGTAGATGCTACAACAGGCAAAATCCTGGGAGATCTAATCCTAAAAGGTTCAGGTGGGCAAGAGCTTTCCTCTCAGATTTTGCTTTAGACTGCTGAGTTGTTACAACTTGCTTTAAGGAGAAGTAGCCATTTGCAGATTATACATCACATTTGCATGGCAGTTTCAGCATGCAAACATTGCAGTGCCTTTTAATATGAGAGCATCTCCTACCTTTGTGTGGCTGCCAAATTACACGAGGGAGGGCTTGCAACACCTCAGTCCTCCAGCAGCAAGTGCAGTGCATAACTGCAGGAAGCAATTACTACAGGTTGTACATTATCCTCAGGCTCCAGTGCTAGGAAGACACTGAAGTTCCTCTATGCATACACATGGACTGAATCAAGACAGAGAGCTAAGTATATCAGAAGTGACATGTCAGTCTCTAAAATGACCATGCCACTATCTGATTTTATCAACAACCAGGGAGAGTAAACAAGTACAGGACATAAACATTCAACACTACACTGCAAAAGAAAAATCTGAATACAGAGCAGCAGCACAATGCTTTCTGATAGTCGTTTTCTGTTTGGTTTTTCTCTCTCCAATAAAAAAATAATATTACTAGAGATATACAAACTACTTGATGCATGGAAATTAACCAAAGAAATATAAGAGAAACAGTTCAAGAGCATCAAAGAAGGTTCAGTGATAAGATGCACATGAGTGAACACACATGTTTACACTGACATTTGATATAAATATTCTTGAGGATGCTTAAAAAAATTTGCTACTGTCAGCTGCCCATAACTCAGACTGTTCCTATAATACGTCTATACTAAACTAATAAAACATCAGTATCTCAAAGTAAATCTTGCATCCTGTTTAATCTTGTAAGTTCTCTTAAGAGTCCAGTCAATATCAGTGTCTCGGCTAAATTATAACTAAAGAAGAATACAAGCCCAAGCCTGCTAGCACTGATAAGGGACTAAAGCTTAGATCAGCATAAAAGGAAAAACAAAGAAGAAAAAAAACTGAAGAAACAAGATTTTTGTTTTCAGAACGAGGAAGTTATCTGGCAATGACTTACAAACTGACCTCTTGAAGGGAAACAAAAAACCTCTTGTGATTGAAGTATTTAATGTGGTATTTATTCACCCTGTCTCCCAAAATTGCTACCCTATGACAGGGACAGTAGAAAATGATAGGCAATGAACTTGGTACACGTTTCATGCAGTCATGCCTGCCAAAGAAGCAGGACAGAAACAATAGCTAAAGCTGTAGGTAGTAACCACATCATTCATTTTGCCACATCTTGTCACAAGAGATGTAGAACTGTGAATCAGGACGTAACAGCAGAGACACAGAGTTTTATTTGAGCTTTCTGCACCCTTGCCTGTTAATTTTTCAATTAAAAATACACCTATTTCTTTCTATTTTTCAGTGACTTCTGGGGACCCCGATTTCCCACTAAATTCTCACCTGCAGGTATGTAAGAAATACCAACTGGTGAATGCATTCACAGGACATTGTTCCAGCAGACACACAAAAATATAATGCTAAACCCCTTCGCACATGGCTAGAACAAAACCAGATGCTGCACTCTCTCTCCATCTCAGGTGTCTCTAATCCCTTACATTCAGTGTTTTCCCCCACAGCAGAATAACACAGGGAAAAGCAGACTGATGCTGAGAGGACCAGACAGTGTCACCAAGTCTCATTAGCATCTGGGCTGTACCAGAATCCTTCCCCTGGCCCATGGGGAGGAAACTTTCTCTTATGAAATCCAAAGAAGGCACTGCCACCTTTACACCTTCCCACTCCATGTAACACTCTATCAACTTTATGTCTTATCTCACAAGCCCCAGTGCCACTGACCACAGGCCCCTCCAGCTCTGCTAGAGCAGCTGGTGGCTCCTTCCCAGGCTGGCTAATATCCACAAGCACTGTTAGCTCCAATATACATGGCTGGACTAATACCTCATGCATTTTCACATCAAGAAGGAGAGGGTCAGTGATACAGACGCAGGAGAAATGGAGTTTCCACACTTTCTCTTTTTTGGCAGTAGAAGAGAGAAGCTGGAGGAGAAAATAAACAAGATGAGCAGAGGAATGGAGGCAGTTTAATTGCTTTTGCAGAAGCTGGAAAAAGAAAGCAGTGCTGAACACACTGCACTAGAACCTCAGTCCTTCAGCAACCTGACTGAAATCCCCATATTACCTTTCAATAGTAAGTTTTTGATACTTTTCTAGTATTTTTTGTAAAAAACTAAGCTTATCTGTTTATTAAAGCAGCAATCCATAAATCCTGTCTTTTTCCTTTTAGAAGAACATTTTAAAGTAGGCTATTTTTCCTTTGTTGAGGTAGTAACTCAAGTATGCCAAGCAGCTTTTTTCCTCTCAAGCAACAGGGCAAGTAAGAGTTTTACAAAACTAGTTCAGAGCAGACTGACCTAGCTTCAGACCAGCCTATTTTTGGCCAAAACTACTGGATTTGCTGACACTTGGTTTTATTCTATCAATATTATTTACCCATATTGTTTATGGGCACATATAGCCATGTTTTGCTCTTTTTACAAGCATCCTGCCACTAAAACATCAATTTCCATATACTAAGTTTCTTCAAAACACTACTGCAAAACTCAGTACATAGTCAAGTTTCTTTCTAAGCAAAATTTTAAAGGTGGAGCAACATCAGATTTATATTTGAAAGCACTAAAGGAAGAACCTTACAAACCTTTTTTAAATGTTGACAAAACAAGGCACCAGACTTTCAAAGTTTCAGTGTTTAATGTTTCATATCTTGACATTATCTTAAACATTATTTTTCATTCAATTTCTGAACATTGCCTCCTTCATGTAATTATTACCACAAATAAGTGTTAAGCTTTGAACTGCTGTGACTGTCAAATCCTGAAGTCTAAAGAGTAACACGCAGTGCTCCTAACTTCTCCCAGTATAATGCCATAGCTGTAAATGCCAGCAGCCAAGACGACGTATATCACCTGCTCAATGCACAGCACCAAACTCACACAGGCCTCAGAAGGGCTCAACTGAGCCATCTTGGGTGTCCTACAGAACTCTAGATAGATCTTGCCTTTACACTGCAACTGTCATGCCACAGGCCACATAAGCAAAGAAAAAAAGAAAGCAACCACCAGCTTATTGTTTAGGAACAGTATGCTAATGATTATATATTTCTCCATTCCTGCAAGCCAATTAAAGCCAGACTCTGAATACTGCCCGAAGTGGTGTTTGCCATTTTCCTTTTTCCGATCATTTTGCCAGAGCTTCTTTTGAGAAAGCCGAATTTTTTTTTTTTCATTGACAATAACTGCCATCTACCAACATGCCAAGGAAAGGTTATTACATGTAATAGGGTCAAGGAATGGGCTGGAACACAGATTTCTGTGTTCCTCATTGTCTAAAAATGTTCAGATTGTTGTTATCAGTAATTTTGCCATCCCAAAAGCAACCCAAGCACACTAGGTAGCTTTTACCTGACAGTTCTTTTCAGAAAAAATCTTTTTGGTTAAGCCTCAAAGAAATTGGTAAAGCTAGAAGTTGATTTTGTACTGCTGCTGTACTGCAGAATATATATCATAGCCACAGAAACGTTACTAGAACACAGGAGTTTTTGTGGTTTTCTGATAGGATTGTCTGTGAATAACCTCCACAGTACTCTTCAGCATCACCAACTACATAATTTCTGGAGGCAGCACAGTGGCTAGCACACACAGGTCTGCCCAAGAACACCTCCCACACACCGAAAAGTTGTGCAGACATTGATTATGGCAGGGTCCCGTCTCTCTCCCATCTGTCATGTGTGCCACAGGACAGCCACACAGCTGCCTCTGTGCCACTGCGAGCCGATCGATCCCATTTCCTGATTTCATGCCCTTCAACGATGCAAACGCAGCTAGCGCTGGGGCGAGGGGGACACCCTCCTACTTACACCGACAGCCTCCGAGCCTTCCTGGCACCCAGCTCGCGTGTGATCGAGAGGCAACTCGTCTACCGTGACCCCTTGTTTACAAATGGCACAAGACGACGAGTCCTCAGTTAATCAGCAACTTTATTGTCGGTCACCCTGGCTGTGACTGCCGCGCTGCCCGCACCTGCCCGGGGCCGGCCGGGCGCTTCCCCTGCGCAGCCCTCCAAGGCCTCTCATGCCCAGCCGGGTATGGCACCACATCCCGGGGCCTCACCCTACGCTCCTCATCCCTGCAAAATACCGCCAAGCCTTCCAGGAAATTTAGGTCCCGACAACGGCGCGGGGGGGACCGGGAGAAGGGACCGGGCCGCTGCAGCGCCGCTACCCGACTCTGGGCCCGGCGAGGGGCCGTGGGCGTGGTGGGGGTCACGGCCCCTCGCTCCCGCGGCGAGGGGAGGCGGCTCGGCGGGACACAAAGAGCGCGGAGCCCCCTCCGCCCGGCGCGGCCGCCACAAAGCCGCGGCCCCGGGCGCAGCGAGCGCGGATACGGAGGGGTGGCGGGAGGCCGTGCGCCCCGCGGGTGCCCGCTGCTTCTCAGCCGGCGGTGAGGGATGCCGGCCGGCCGCGGGGCAGCTCCGCCTGCTGCCCCCGTCCCTGCCTAGGCCGCAAAATGGAGCCGGAGCGAGGAGGGCCCCGCGGAGAGAGCGGGACAGCGGTGCGGGCAGCTGCCCCGCCGCCCCTGCCGACACCCCCCTCGCTGCCGCCTCCCTCCCTCCCTGCTTGCCCGCCCGTCCGCCCGCTCCGGGGCGGCAGCCCCGCACTTCCTGGTGCCCGCGGCGGCGGCGCGGCGGCAGCGCCGGGGCCCGGGGAGGGAGACGGACATTTCATTCGAGCCTGCAGTGCAACCGGTTACCAATCATTGGCCGGAGCCAGGCACAAACCTCCAGTGCGGCCCTGGTTGGCTCCCTCCGCAAATCGGCTGTTTGGTTGGACGGAAAATGGCTGCGAAGGAACCAGTCCCAGCGCGGAGCCTCGCTTCCCGCAGCCGGGCTGCCCTCCCTCCGCGCCGCCCCCCCCCCCCCCGCCCCCCCCCCCCGCCACTCGTGTCGGCTCTTCCCTGAGCGCGCACCCTCCCGCCGGGCCGGCCCTGCCCGCCTCCTTTATGGAGCGGCTGGGCCGGGGGCGCCGCGCCCGCCCCCCCCGCGCGGGGCTGGGGCTCGGCGGCGGCCGCTGAGGGCTGTCCCTGCCACCGGGCTCGGTCCCGCAGGGCTGCTGCTGCTCCTGGCGATTGTGTAGCGGGGCCTTTGACTAGGGGCAGCTCTTCCTGCGGCCTCGGTCGGTCCCGCAGGGCTGCTGCTGCTCCTGGCGATTGTGTAGCGGGGCCTCTGAGTAGGGGCAGCTCTTCCTGCGGCGTCGGTCTCACAGAATCGCAAATGGGTCAGGTTGGAAGGGACCGCAGTGTGACAGCTGGTCCGAGCTCCCTGCTCAAGCAGGGTCATCCTGGAGCACAAGCACAGGATTGCATCCAGGCAGTTCTGCAGTGTCTCCAGTGAGGGAGACTGCAGTCTCCCTGGGCTACCTGTTCCAGTGTGTGGTCACCACACAGTAAAGAAGGTCTTCCTCATGTTCAGGTGGAACTTCCTGTGCATCAGTTTCTGCCCGTTGTCTCTTGTCCTACTGCTTGTTACCACCAAAAATGCCTGGCTTCATCCTGTGACCCCCTCCCTGCAGATACTGGTGGACATTGATGAGATCCCCTCTCAATCATCTGTTCTTGAGGCTCCTCCTGCCTTTCCTCATAAGAGAGATGCTGCAGTCCCCCAGTCATCCTCGCTGTCATGGGAGGTGGGGGCTGGGGGAGAGTGGCCAGCTGTGTCCCACTGGCCTTGTCCCTGGCCTCACGCCCCTCTTGCCTCACCAGCCTGGTGCCTGTTGTCAGGCACCATTATTATGAAGGTTCCTTAGATCTATTCCAATCTGTCCTCCACCTGCATCAATATTTACCAGCTGAGAGAAGAACAGGTGACCTCCCCAGTGACTTCTTACATTTTGTGCAGCCTGAGAAATCGGAGGATGATTCATAGAACCCAGGTCTAACCAATCATTTGGTGGAATAGAACCTTGGGAGAGGGGATCTGTGGGTCTGTATTACTTTCCCCATTCTCCTTTCCCAGAAAAAAGTAAAATTTTACTGCAAATGAAAAAGGATCATTTCCCCCTGGTGATACAGAGCTTAAAGAGAACCTTTTTCTTCCACTTCTGAAGAAATACAGGCTGCTGAGTGAAGATATTAGTTGGACTGACTTCTCCACTGGGATTTATAAACCTCTCTTATGAAGCATTTATATGAAACACTTCATAATCCACCAGTCCCTCCATTAATTAGAATCAGAAAGGGCCAAAAAGCAGCCCAAAATATTCCACACATCCGCCACCAACACGTGTGTGTGTGTGCAACCTCCTCTCAACAGAGGTAATAAGAATATTTTTGGTTTGTGCAATTCTTAATAACCTTCATTATTTGAAGATCTTAATTGTTTTAACTAAACTAGTATGAAAGTCCCATTTCACAGTAGCTTCTGCTAGCATCCTCTTCTGGTTAACATCTGATGAATACAATAAATACACGCCTCTCCTAACTCTCTTCTGGCACTGGGATTTACACCAAGTGAAACTCATTTCCACATGGTTTCACATAACAACATTAGTTTCATGTGCTTTGATATAGCATAAAGTTTTCGATTCACTCAAAATGTCCATGTGTTTGGATTGTTTTGAGTTTAAAGTGAAACACCAAATTAGAAGAATTTTGCGTGGCCATGGGTTTTGACTACAAATGCTATATGCAGCTTAATCCTGTCTCATGGGTACTGTGAGCAGTAATTAGTAATTTTTTTTCTTTTTTAATGCCCAGAAGATGTTAAGTAATGCAAGAATATTCACTAAGTTTGGGACCTTAGGGGATGCGTTTTCCCCTTTATCTATTTTATAGCTTGTGTTCACTAAGTACAGTGCTGTGTGAATACACTATTAATCTGTGCACTCTTAAGATCTTTGGGTGGATTTTGTCATGCCAGCCCAGAATTTCGCAAGTGATTAGAAAAACGAGCGCTGACCAGTGTGCAGGTATTCCAGGGCACAGAGTAGACAGTGCCCTTTTTTGAGCTGCTAGTCACTAGTTTTAAATCTTCTTGAAAACACAGCCCTCACATTTTTCTACTGCATTTTTTTCAAATTTGAAATGAAAATATTGTTTCTCCTGTGGTTTTTTGTACTGATATTTATCAATGTTGTGTTGATGGAAAAACTACTTATCCTCTTACCCTCTACTCAGCACTTTTCTTTAGGACAGCACAGTGGGAACAAGTGTTCATTGTTACTGGTGACAGAACAGCACTTAGTGGTTAACTTGTCAGTCAGCTGGAGCCAGGGAATCCAAGCCAGCATTCCCATTTACAAACATTTTATTTTGTGTTCCTCCATTAGTAACAATTTATATCACACACTTGTAATTCAGTCTTCAATTGGTTTGTTATTTTATTCCCATGCTAAGTATATTCTCAAGCTCCATATTTTGTGAGGCAATGATCTACTTCCTGAAATTGTCATTTTGTGCCTAAAATTTTCATTGAGGAAATCAAAATCTTCAGGTATCTGTTCCATTTAGTAGGTGTTAGCTAAGGTGAGCAAGTATGCTTCTTTATACCAGAACAGATATATCCATTGTTCCAGAATGTGCCTTACTAGTGCTGTGAACTCTGTCATTTGGAAAAATAAGTGCTTGAAATAAGAAATTCTGATTTTTGTAGAAATAGCACTGAATGTAGGGTGAGTGAGTTGTTCGTCTAACTTTCTCCAGAGTTCTCAAAACTGTGAAATTCTTAGTGTAATAGACTGGAAATAGGTCTGTCATCAAACTGTGAACTCCATGGGGCATCAGGAACTGGTATTCATTCTTCATAGTGATCATTCTAATGTTAATTTTCTTCCTTTTTTTGTAGATCAGAGCATTCTTATTTGTATTCGATGATCCTGAATAAAAGATTCTTGAAGCTACAGAGCTAAGCAATGCTACCTGAAAAAGATGAAATGTGGAAATCCAGAAGAAATTATCTACAGGTAATTAACCAAGTCAGAGTGGGAAGAGACCAGGTGGAATTAAATGAAGTTCAAGACATTTTTATTTTTCTAATGATCAGTATCTCGCTGTTATGTTGAAAAATTCTTCAGCTAATTAGACATGCCTTCCTTTTAGGCAGTAGTACCCCTTTAACAGTAAAATATCTGCTACACTTGGAAGGAGCTGTGTGCTCAGGTGGCCTTTGTGCTGTGTGATCCCACAGCTATGAAGGGCAGACACGTACAGCATCTGCACTGTGCCAGTGCACTTGAGAGGCCAATCTAGAAGAGTAGCTAGCTTTGATGCACGTGCCATGAGGACCAAAGGATGTATTTATTCACAGCAGACTGGTATCCCACCAAAGAGGGGGCTGGGAACGTGCAATTCTGAAATTACTACATCCCATTTAGGAAGTATGGTCCAAAGAGCAATGTGCAACCATGGATACAATTTCCCAGGCCTATTCCATGCTTCTTGTATGACCTTGGGCAAATTATTGTAAATCCAAACCATCAGATTTCAATTGAGACATGCATAAATGCCTGTGAAAATCTGAATTTCGATCATATTGTACCTCAATTCCCCATCTGCTAAAGTGGTAGCAGTGTCATTTTCCTATCTTGACCTGAGCTGTGAATGGCTCAGATTCTCAGATACTGGGAAAGCAGTGGGGGCAGGAGTACCAGAGGTAAGAAATGACAAGTGAAACTATTTTATGAAGGCTTCTTGAGACCAAGCTGCTGTGTGCCAATCCCTGAGGAGAGCTGAACTAATTTTTGAGCCTTTTCGTCACTACTGCTCAACAGCCTTTCCTTCACAGGATGCACAGAAATGTACTATGTTGAGACATATTCCACCAAGTAAACTTTATTAAAATTGACCAACATTTCAAAATTTATTGGGGGAACTAAGATAAATAGGCTGTACCTCATGCCTAAATCTTGTTCCTTTAGAGAAAAGAAAAACCAGCTTACTGTTTTCACCAGTGGAATGGCTGGTCAAGAAAATAGATGCAAAGATACAGCTTGAAGTTTAGGTCTGCTAGTTAATCTCAGCCCGGTGGGGTTAAATGTGGCTGGCGGCAATCCCTTTGAAAGGTAGCTGGAACAGCACTGACTTGTAATCAGGTAATTTATATGTTAAGACATGTCTAAAACATCAAGTATAGACATTCCACGCAAGCAATAGAAACTTCAAAGTACACATGCAAGACAGAACCACTTGAAGGACTAGAAGAGATCTTGGCAGAAGCTTCTAACTTGTACATGAGTAATACAGCAACAGGTGGAGGTGAAACTATAACAATATCTCCTCTGCTTTGTTTTCAAAAAAGGAACTACACCATTTTGTGATGCAATCTGAGAACAGCTCGCTTTTCAACTGTGCCATTACAACCTCCTGGATAAAACCATTAGCATTGGTTTTGTCTCTTCTCAAAACACAGAACAGAAAAAAAATCAATGCTCATTTTAAATAGCAAAGGTTTAAATCATTTAGCTTTTTCAAACCTTATGACAAGTAATATAAGGTATAAAATGAAAAAGCTAATGAAGTAGCTCTGGTAAAACTTCAATTTAATTTTTCATAACTAAATTTATTACACATTTGCAAGGGTCATTCACATGGATTTGTCAGATATCACTAGTATTCAGCTGCATTCTATGGTTATGTTTTGGATTTTCTCCCTATTACCAGCTACATGTGGGATTGAAAGTTTTCAGTGGTACAAGTCGGGTGAAAGATGCCTTATTTAATCCTACTCTGCAAGAGGACAAGCAGCTGCTTAATGGCTATGCAGTGAAATCCTACATCTCCCAGGGGTGGGGAAGCTGGGTTCCATTACAGCTCTGTTTTGGGTACTGCAGAGGGAGCACAGAAGGCATGTCAGATGAAGATGGGAAGTGAGGAAATGTGGACTTTTGCCCAGTCCAGTTCTGATGATAAAGTTACAGTTCTAG